TTTTTTTTTTTGGAGGGGGCAGAGAGTTCGCAAAATCCACAGGTGCTCTGGTTTCTGTTTTCAGTCTGCACTGCCTGAGTTGCAAAAACTCCACATGGAGTAACAGAGCAGATGAAAAAGAGGCTGAGCTCTGCCTATGCCACCTTCAACCTTCCCCCCCACCCCTTGCTTCCCACCACTCTGTTTAGGGCAACAGCCAGTGCCACCCACTTTTTGGGATGCAGTGGCTACCAAGTGCTACTGCAACCTCCTCTCTGGAAATTTTCCACCACTTGGAGCCCTGTACACTGGTTATTGCCAGTGAAAGCGGAACTGTGTATTGCTAAAGAGATTTAAATAGAGTCAAACAGAAACCTGAAAAAGGCTGCCATGACAACTGTGGATTGTGGATTTTTCCTATTAAAGTATGATTTAAAAATAGCAGAGTAAACTAGGAGACCAAAAATCTGGTACAAAAAGTCCAATTGTAAAGTTTGAATTTTAGTATTCTTTCCTTAAACTTGTTTTTATAATCATAAGATGAAATTAGAGGTCTTTGTATTATTCAGTGCTGATGGAAGAAACATCACTAGGTGTTTGCCTGTGTCTAGCAAATGGTAAAGGCAGCTGTAGCAAGAGAATGAACCAATGTGAAAACCCTGAAGGCTCCTCTCTCCAGGGAAGTCAGGTAGATCTTGACACTCAGCCAACGTTTGATCCCTCTTACCAGGGACCATGGGATCCATACACACAATACTCCAAGTCTCTATGTTTGCTTTGGGAGTCACAACATCCCTCACTTCTTGGAGAGGAACCCAGGGTTCCTCAAATGCCCAAGGACGAGGAGGAAGAATCAGGTCCAACAATATTGCCAGCCTTGACAGCAACATCATTATCCCCAGATGAGGTGGTTGCACCAACCTCAACTTCTCTGCTTGATGATTACAGGCAATTCCAGGACCTATTAAGGAAGGTTGCTGATACTCTCCAGATTTCTCTGAAGGAGGTACAAGACATTCCTCACAAGTCCTTGGATATTCTACATAGTGAAAGGCCTAGGTAGGAGGTTTATGCTGCCCCTTAATTAATGGAGCTTGCTAAGGTCATCTGGCATACACCAGCCATTTGTGCCTCTAAGAGTACTGAAAAGAAATACTACATGCCAGCCAAGATAGCAGAATTTTTATTTTACAAGATCCACTGTGTTAGATAAGGATGCTAAACATCTAGACCTATTGGGCAGGAAAGTTTTCACTTCAATCAGCCTTTTCATATAGCCAATTGCCAAGCATTAACCTCAAAATACAATTTTTGTAAATTGCTCTAAGTTAGTGGAATAGATGGACAAACACCCACAAGAGCGCAGATCACATTCCTGGCTCCGATTGAGGAGGGTAAATTGACCACCAGATCCTCCCCCCAAGCCTCTGTTGATGCAACAGAAACAGCTGTTGTTTCAAGGGCAATGGCTATTGTCATGCATTTAGCATCCTGTCTTCATTCCTCAGGATTCTCCAGGGAAGTATAATCTACAGTGGAGGATATGTCTTTTGAAGGGAACAACATGTTCAGGAAGAAAACAGATGAATCTGTACACTGACTGGGGGATTCAAGGGCAACTCTCTGATAACTGAGGATCTGCATTCTAGCACCAAGGAGGAAGTACCACAGACCTCAGTCATACAAGCCTCAGTCAGTGCCTCAACTCTTCTACCACCAAAGGGCATATGAACCCCCATGGAAGTGACAAAAACTGGAGCAGGGCACACACAATGCTTCCCCTTCTTCCAACCTCAACCTCCCACTAAGAAATATTTTTGATGGTACTTTCAAGAGCTGCAAACCACTCCAAATGCCGCATTCATCAATCATGAGCCCCAAGACCCAATTTGGGACTCGACTGGCCCACTTTGCCCAAACTTGGTGGGTGATAACAGCTGGATTGTTGACGTAGAATCATAGAAGATTAGGGTCGGAAGAGACCTCAGGAGGTCATCTAGTCCAACCCCCTGCTCAAAGCAGGACCAACCCCAGCCAGGGGTTTGTCAAGCTGGGTCTTAAAAATCTCTAGGGATGGAGATTCCACCACCTCCCTAGGTAACCCATTCCAGTGCTTCACCACCCACCTAGTGAAATAGATTGTCCTAATATCCAACCTAGACCTCCCCCACTGCAACTTGAGACCATTACTCCTTGTTCTGTCATCTGCCACCACTGAGAACAGCCTAACTCCATCCTCTTTGGAACCCATCGTACATCATACACTCCAGCTGTACTATAGTATTCCTTTTCCTTCCCGCTCCAAAAAAACCCTTCCCTGTCCCTCTTGAGGGACCACTCTCAGGAGAGGATGGTAATTGAAGAGGTGAACTTCCTCCTTCTTCAGGTACCCATAGAGCAGGTCCTTTGCAACATTTTACTGAAAATTTCTCATCGAAAAAGGAAGGGAGGATGGAGACCTATCTTAGACTTCAGACAACTCCATGTCTTTATCTGATAGCTGAGGTTTAGGATGGTCACACTGGCATCAATAATTTCCTCACTGAACAGAGACAACTGGTTCTCAGCTTTTGAGATGAAGGATGCCTACTCCACATAGACCTCCACCCCTCACACAGACGGTTCCTGAGGTTCTCCATGGACAGGCACCACTACCAATATAGGGTACTCTCCTTTGGCCTTGCAACAGTATACTTGTAGGTACCCTTCATGCTATCAGTAGTAGCAGCTTACCTGGAGCAAGTCATCAGTATTTCCCTATTTAGTATTGCTAGCTGTGCCTTTAAGTCTGCTTCTGCACCCACAGTATCAAACTTAGAAAATGCATGCTTGGGGTAGTTCAGGTCACATTTAACAATAGTACAAAAGAGTCCACTAGAAAATAGTACATAGCCAAGTGGAAATATTTATCAGTTATCAGATAACCCCAGAGGACTCTGACATGCTGACTTTTTTAGAATATCTTCTCTCCTTAAATACCAACAGTGTCTCACTTAGTTCACTACAGGTTCATTTGGTAGCTATCAGCGCCTGTCACTAACAGGGGATGGCTCACTTGAGGATTACCAGTTCTGTTCATTCCCTCTGGGGCACCTGACATTGGTCACTGTTGGAAGACAGGATACTGGGCTAGATGGACCTTTGGTCTGACCCAGTATGGCCGTACTTATGTTCTGATAACTACTCTATCTTTATCCATCCTGTAACAGTACTTTTTTGAAAGGCCTGGTTAGAACCTTTCCTCTTGTGAGTAGGTGCACTCCGATGTGAGACCTGAATTTTGTCCTCTTAGCACTGACAAGACCTCCATTTGAACCCTTGGCTTCTTGGTCCTTATCCCTTATATCCATGAAAGTCACCTTTCTAATTGCCTTCACCTTAGCTATAAGGGTGGTGAACTGAGAGCCCTCAGGGCGGATCTGCCATATACAGTCTTTCACAAGGATAAGAATGCCCTGAGGCTGCATCCTAAATTTACGCCTAAACTGATCTTGGATTTCCATCTAAATTGGAGAATCCACCTACCTCCATTCTTCCAAAAACCACATACTGCTAGTGAAAACAGGTGGTCTCACTCCACAGACATCCATCGAGCTGGGGCGTTCTACCTACAAAGAACAAGACCATTTAGAAAATCACCTGCACTGTTTATATCATTCACAGAATGGATGAGAGTGGAAACAATCTCCTCACAAAGACCTTCCGAGTGGATTTTGGGGTGGATTCTGCTGTGTTAGAAGTTGACAAACACCCCTGCACTACGAGGTCTGAGAGGTCACTCTACTGGAGCCCAGACCACCTCTGTAGCCTTCATTCAAGACATTCCTATTGTTTAAATCTGTAAAGCAGCTACATGGGGTTCAGTGAATGTCTTATCAAGACATTGTGCCTTAGTGGATGCTTCTGAGGATGATGTGTCTCGTACTCCTTTCAGAAGTATCACAGAGGTCCTCAAAACCTTCTCCTCAATAAGCACTGCTTGGCAATCACCCACAATGGAATACACATAGGGACTAGCACTCGAAGAAGAGAGAAGTTACGTACCTTATACAGCAACAAGAGTTCTTTGAGATGCATGGTCCCTATCTGTATTCCACTACCTGCCCTGCTTCAGATCCTAACATATGATTCATGGTAGGGAAGGAACTGGAGGTAGGTGGTCCACACTGCCCTTAGGCCTTTGGCTGGGAGCACGAGGAGGAAAAGGGTGCAGGAGCAGACTTACAGACACTGCTAGCAATGCTCTTCCAGTTTCAGGCTCATGGAGCTCACATGCACTCACAGTAGAGTACACATAGGGTCCACACATCTTGAAGAACTTCAGTTACTGTACAAAGTAAGAACTATCTTTTCACTGATTCTTTGTCCTTAATGCGAATGTTACTGTGTTTGGCCACTTGTTACACATCCTTTTTCTGATGTTTAGCCCAAATTATTATGCAAGCAAACATTAAATTAAATGAGTTTCATTAAACAGTATAATAAGTTCAGCAGGCGTTCTTCTGCTCAGTTACAGACAGTGATGGCTCGGGGCCACTACCTGCTGATAGACATCAGCTTCACCTCTTCTGTATCAGTGGGTTCTTAAACTGGCACTGTGATCAGCAGGGAAAAGGATTGTTAAAAATACATGGATTTCCTGTTTACAGAGATTTTGTTCTGGGTTTGTTGGGTGCTTTCAGTATTTTCAGCCAATGCCATTGATTTTCTTTCTATCCAATTGCTTCACAATGTCCAGAAAAGATGAAATAACTATATTTATGGTCTTTCCACAGGTATATTCACTTCAATCAAATAGAAACAGTCAAGCCAGAAACCTTCAGAGACCTCCCAAAATTAGAAAGATTGTAAGTGCTGGTTGGGCAAACTTTTCATTAGTTCTGTGTTCTTGATTTGTCTTCATCACTCAAAGTCTGACTGACCTAAATAAATTCTGTGCCCTTTTATCTACAGAAGTGCTGAAAAGTAGAGGAAATTCTTTAATAGTCACCCTAGTAAGAGGGCAAGATATTGTAATGCAGATTTCCTTCACAAACCCTCCAGCCAAGAAGAACTCTTTCAAGTCTGAATTGCATGGCTGTAAACAATCCCAAGTTGTCATTTTCAGTGAATTGACTTTAGATCTCTCTGAAAGTGAGTTTAGATTTCTTTCAAGTAACAAAAGACATTATTTCAATCAAAACTCCAGAAGGATTTTGTAGCAGAATCTGTTTGGTGTGATACCTTTAAATGTGACTCATTTAAGGCCTCATCTCCTCTGGGAATTTACCTCAGTTACAGCCATCAGTTGCCAGACCCCTCTCAAAGCTGCAAACCCATAGTGTGAACAGGCAAAGGCTATGTCTACACTGCACTTTTCTGTTGGTGTCTTGTAAAGTATGTAGTCCGGTAGCTCCCCTAGCATGAGTTTAAGTCGCAGTGATGACAGTGAGGTGGGGCTTAGGTGAGTAGAATATAGACATGGCCTAAAGGGTGTAACCTACATGGCTCTCTGCTCACCCAAGCCGTGCTCTCCTGTCTACACTGCTACTTTTAGCCATGTAGTGTCCCACTGCCTCCCAGCTGCTAGAGCCTTTCCCCACTACAGGAAAAGACTCCAGTAGTGGGGAGGAATTGGAGAAAGACTCCACCAGAGGAAAAGCCTCTAGCAATGTGGAAAGGCTCTGCCATCTCACTACCGCTAGAGCCCTTCCCCACCAAAGGGAAAGAGTGCAGCAGCTCCCCACTACTGAAGCCTTCCCCACTGCAGGGAAATTCTCTATCAGGGATGGAAAAGCTTTTATAGGGAGAGCTGCTGAAGCTTTACCCCCCACTCCCTGCCTTCCCCCTGCCCAAGCCTTTCACTGACATGTGCAGCTATACACCACAGTGTGGACACAGCCTGCTTGTCTCTGCGGCTACACATTCCCTACATACCACCGACAGTGGCCTGTAATGTAGACATAGCCAAAATGTCACAATTTCCTCTAGTGGCGATTATGCTACTTTCAAGCAGAGCTAAATGCAACCAGTTCAAATAGTTGCTTTGTCAGGAGTTTTCACTGGAGTGGCTACATCGCTTAGTGATGACACTAATCCGGAGAAATCCTCAGTGTAGAGAAGGCCTTAAATAGAAATGATAAAGATGTGCTACATCACTTACCTAGAGCTGACACATAACCACCTCTGAATGGGGAAACATTACAGTTGTTTTACTGTGAACGGTAAGTCTACACAATGTCTTAGAACCAAAAGTGAAGCATGAGTTATCCAGTTGAAACCACGGGAAGAATTTATACAGGAAGTATTTAATTACAAAGTTTGAATTTGATCAGGAGACCCCTATTCTTGTGGGGAAACAAAGGCCATTAGTCATAAATGACTCAGATATTGCTTTTGTCATCTGAAAGAAATATAATCAATATTTATTAGTAAGCTGTGGTTAAATAATAAACCCCTTCCCCCCGACTTAGCCTTAGCTTTTATAAACGACAACTTTACTAATTTGTTAATATTATGCATGGATTTTTTGTCAGATTTTAAAACATACAATGCAGAGCCATGTTCTTTGTAATATATTAATATCTAATTCTGTAAAGGACTCTGTCAATTATTAAGGCATATCTTCTGTTCCTCAGATTTCTGCATAACAATAAGTTGTCTAAGATCCCAGCTGGAAGTTTTTCTCATCTGGATTCACTAAAGAGGCTGTAAGTTTTGGAAAACAATTTTGTAAATAATGATATTCGTATTCTACTGCAAAACGGTGTGAACTGTAAAGAAAGGTTTTTAATTAGGTTAGTTAAATGAAGACCACAGCTTTCTGATAGTGTTTTTGGCATGCTTTTCACCATGGGATAGAGAAAGTGACATAATGTACTGTGTTTGTACTAATATTTCATAAGAAGTGAAATTTGAACGGAAATTAGAAGAAATTCCTTAAGACACAAGGCTGAAAGAAAAGGCGGGGGAAGGGAACAAGGCTGAAGAATGAGAAATGAAGGGGAAGGCAAATGAGGCGAAGGGAAGGAATGTGGATAGCAACTACTAAATATGGAATAAGGGGAATTAAGGATAAATCAGGACAGAATTCGGTGACTCTCAGTTAATAGAAATGGATGGCCTGTTTGTAGACATGAGAACCAAATGGTTCATTTAATTTTACATGCCTGCAAATATCATGCATTCTGTTCTTCCATGTCCTATTTGGTCGGCAAATGGACATACATGTTTTTCTTACAGAGAGAGTTTTCACTAATAAACATTGGTTAAAGTTTAAGGAGCCTCACGTTTAAGGAGTCCTTTCTTGTTGCACCTCCTCCTCTTCCTTTTCACATCTCATGATCAGTTAGCGAGCTACAGGTGTGAGACTTCAAAACTTAAATTTAACCCCTAATTTTGCTGTTTGTTCCTCAACTGTTGTTACTAAGCCATGATGTCTCCAAAACCAGATGTGGAAATTCCTGCTTGAGGGGCTCAATCCTATCCCCCCCTTGAATTTGGTGAGAATTTTGCCACCTATTTCCATGGCACCAGGACAGGGCTCAAGGCTCTAAAAAGTCTCCAGGCCATAAGGATTTATTTGAATTGGCAAATTGGTCCCAGTTCAGCAAAGCACTGAAGTACATGCTTAGGTCCATCCCTGTTCAGTAAAGTATTTCAGCACATGCTTAAAATCAAATATGTCTTTAAGTCCCAGTGAAGAAGTACATGCTTAAAGTTAAGTAAGTGATGATGGGCTTTAAGAGATGTTTAAAATTCAGTTATCAAAGCAGTTTGCTGAATCATGGCCAAAGAGAAAATATTCACAACTTTACTGTCTGACCCTCACAGTTTCAAGGATAAAGGTTATGTCTACACCACAATTAGACACCCGTGGCTGACCCATGCCAGCTGACGGGCTTTCAGGGCTCGGGCTGCACACCTGTTTAATTGTGGTGTAGATGTTCTGGCTCAGGCTGCCACCCAAGCGCTGGACCCTGCCACCACACAAGATCCTAGAGTCTGGGTTCCAGCCCAAGCCTGGGCGTCTACGTGGCCATTAAACAGACCCTTAGCCCGAGCCCCACAAGCCCAAGTCAGCTGTCCTGGGCCAGTCATGGATTTTTAATTGCAGTGTAGACATACCCTTAAAGTTTGTAGAAGTAAAAAACAGAGCCTTGCTCCTTAGCTTGATCCTTACCAAAAGCTAGGAACATAAGAACACCAAGGAAAAGAGAACACCAACACCGTATGGCCCATCAATGTGCTCTAGGTGTGTGATGCTGCTATCACAAAAAATGAGAAATTGAGGATTCATATGACTTTGTATTACTAATGCCTCCATAGGGGCCTATTCTCCTGTCAATATGTGAGTGTAATTCCTTTTGGTGATAATGGGAACTATATACGTATACTGAGGTGAGACTATTCTCTGTAGTGTTTTGGAACTAGAAGTGCCATTTACACAAAAGCCAATTGCCAGCTTACAATATTGATCAAAAAAAGCGAACATTGAAATCATTTCCCGGAGAACATTTTGTTTGATTGTTTTTCAGTCTTTTTGAGGTTCAGAAAAATTCGACTTCCTATTAGTTGATTATTTTTTTTTGTATTTGATTCCAGAATTCTGAAACTCAGAAATAAACAGTTGCAAAGCAAGTAAGCCTGCTACTCCTGTTGGGCAGCTAATGACAGAGAGAGAGAGAGAGAGAGAGCCTCAAGGGCCACACTGTTACAGAAAGGCACTTAAAATGTGTTTATAGGCTTAATCTTTTTACCTTCAGAAAGCACCACCTTTTAATATGAAAAGAACCATTTGAAAAATAGCTTTCAGGGAGGATGGTTTTATAGAATAACTGGCTAAGCTACTATAATCATCCTGAACATGTTAGCATCCCTTAAAGATGAGAGAGAGAGAGAGGGCTTGTCTACCCTTTTATACTAATGCTATAGCAGCACAGCTTCACTGATGCAGCTGTGCTACTGTAGCAGTTCAGTGAAGACACTGCATACGCTGCTGGGTGGGCTTTGCCCACAAAGAGGCGGTAGCTATATTAACAGGAGAAGCGCTCCCATCAACATAGCGCTGTCTACACTAGGGGTTAGGTTGCTATAACTGCGTTGCTCACGGGGGAAGATTTTCCCACCCCCCTGAGCAATGTAGGTATACTGACGTAAGTTACTAGTGTACACCAAGTGGTGTGTGTGTGGAGGCAGGGGTTGGGATAGTGAAGAAGGACGTTCCATTAGTTAGGGCATTAACCTTGGTCTTGGGAGACCAGCATTCAATACCCTGCTCTGCCACAGACTTCCTTTGTGACCTAGGAGCCTCAGTGTCCATAACTCAGCTCCCCTTCTGTAAACTGATGATAATACTCCTCTAGCTCACAGGGGTGTTGTGAAGATAAGTAGATTAAAGTTATGGAGGCACTCAGATAGTGGAAGTCATTTAAGTACCTGAAATAAATGGAAATCAATATTCCCTTCACGTTATAGCAGTTGACCTCATCATCATGACATATTCCTTGCAGTTGAACAATCTAAAATGCAGTGTAGCAGGCTCTGAATGTATGGTGTGATGATAGAAGGTTAAGGGCAAGAATCTGACACTAATAACCAAATAGTTATTTCAAGGGTGATTTTTTTAAGGTACGGGTAAGAAAAAAGTGCCCCTAAAAATTTTATTCTGTGAAAATTGAATCCCAGAAATATTACATATCCAACATAAAATGTATACATGCATTCAAATACTATCTTAGAAACAGGGAAAACATCATGAAAACATTACAAAAACAACTGTATATTTCAATGTCTATGTCTGTTAGTTCAGTCATGTCATTTTTAAAGTTTATAGGAATGGCCATACTGGGTCAAACCAAAAGTCCATCCAGCCCAGTATCCTGTCTTCTGACAGTGTAATGGCCCTGAAGAGTTTAGTTTTCAAATTCCTGGCTGCCTCTGACTTTAAATAGTGTGAGTTTTTTGAATGGCATCATTATTAATGTTACTTTTAGGACCAAGCCTCATTCTTGACCATTGAACAGGAGGTGGTTGTCATATAAGTGAAACCAACACATAGATAAACCAGATAGGGTTTTTTTTTTTTATTATTTATTTTTTTAAGTAAAGGCATCCATTAGTTAAGACTAAAATGAGTCATCTGGAGATTCAGTTAGGTGGATCTGTGTTGGGAAGGAGTGGAAGCACATTTCTAGAGGACCCAGCAAAGCATTTAAGCCACATATATAGCCACATATATTTAAACATACACATGAATCCCATGGAACTTCAGCAAAAGCTTCCAGTGGAGTAGGAATGGTCTTAAGCATGTTACTTAAGTGCTATGCCAAACTGGGGCCAGAGCAAGATGTAAGGTGTAGTAAGAGGTCCCTGAGGACACCTGGGTCTCCCCACACCCTGCCCAGAAATGCTGCTGCACCCAGCTGTGACACTACACAACAAATTCCTTTTGTCACTGAAGTGCTGGGAAACAGATTATATCTTGCAACTGTGTATTGGTGTGGAGAGAAAGTGATCCATGCATCCACTTCTCTCTGTAGTATGCTGAGTAGGGACAGCTATAGCTGACCCCTTCCTGTACATAGCCAGATTTTCTAATGGATATTTGCACCTTGTGGCTATTAACGTTCTGTGCTGAATTATACTGGAGCTGAAAGGCAGTTTACTGTAGTTTTTGAGATTACCTTTGTATGCCAACATATGAAAGACAAATCATTTTTGAAGAATAGATTGTAATCTTGAGCAGGGAAGCAGGAAGGAAGGAAATGCAAAATGTAACAAGCCAGAGATTTTTACTGTGTGCGTACATGTATGTATGTATGTATGTGGGGACACACAGATTATCTATTTAGTTATTTTGAAGGAACTGTACTAGCATTAAAATAGTAAAAGTTATGTTAAATATAATCCAGTTGGTGGCATGTTATTTAATGTACATTCTAGACAGTTGTTTTTATTTCATGTATGCACAGACGCTTGGACTCTAATGCCTTAGTTTGTGACTGTGAATTAACGTGGTTGGCTGAACTAATAAAAGAATATACCAGAAATGGAAATACTCAAGCTGCTGCCAACTGTGAATATCCCAAGAGACTTCAGGGCAGGTCTATTGCATCGTTAATAGTGGAAGAATTCAACTGTGGTAAGTTAAGTTGGCTGCTTGCATCTTTGGAGAGAAAATTGTTTGTGCGTCTTCTGGCTTTAAGCCTACAGGTATCTATTTTTATATATTAGAGAAAATAAACTACATTTATTTACTTTCATCAACATTTCATTGAAACGGTTAAAATACGGGTGCTTTTGGTTTAGTCAGGTCTTTAAAATGAAGAACTATTGAAGTCTTTGATTATGATCAGTTTTTTCCCCCATAGAATACAACTTAAAGTAAAACCTTGCTAAACTAGACTATATTCATCCCCATAATTAGCATGCAGGAAATAGTTTCTCTGCATTTCTCTGCAAAGATTTTATAGAATAGGTTGTAGTGAAATCTTATATTACTACAACTTCGTTTTTTTAAAATCAACTATACTAGTGAGTATTATAAAAACAAAAAACTAAACTGTACTTACAATGTACTTCATGCCTTTATATTATATGATGGAATATTTGTTATTGTGTGTGTGAAAATTAATAAAGTTCTCATGTGTTATCACTCAAAAACACTAAGGATCAATTTCTGTCTGAGTTAACACTGTTTATACAGTAAGGTGCCAATCCTGCAAAGATTTATGCACTTGCCTCTCTATACGCACAATGCTTTTAATGGGGTTATTAACAATGAGTAAAGACAATATTTAATTTCTCTGTGGAAAGTTATATCTTGGATTGTATTTTTCTATCAAGGAATGTCAGTTTGAAGACTGATTTCATTTCATGTTTTAAAATCAATCCAGATAAACAAATTTCTCTATGTATTGTTTTCTAAGTGAGAACCAAATGCTGGAAGATACCTGGAAAGAGAGTGAATTCCTCTCTTCTTGCAAATAGGCATAATAATGCAGTTCAAGCATAGCATTAATGTTTTTTGGTATCCCCCAAAGCCCCACAGTGTGTTATTCTGTCTGTCTATCCATCCATCTTTCCCTCCCTCCTTCACCATGTTAATACCTGTTCATAGTAATACAAGGAATAATTTGCATGGGGAGCCATTGTCTGGTCATGTTGGCACATATGAACATGAAGGGCAGAAAAGCACAGCCTACTTATAATAATAATAATACAAGAACTAGAAAACACCCAATGAAATTAAAAGGCATTGGATTTAAGGATGAAGGAGATTTTTTTTCAGAATCTATATAAGTTAGACTGTGGAACTCATTGCCACAAGGAGGAGTGATAGCTCAGTGGTTTGAGCATTGGCCTGCTAAACCCAGGGTTGTGAGTTCAATCCTTGAGGAGGCCACTTAGGGATCGGGGGCAAAAATCAGTACTTGGTCCTGCTAGTGAAGGCAGGGGGCTGGACTTGATGATCTTTCAGGGTCCCTTCCAGTTCTATGAGATAGTGCCCCCCCATGGCTGTGGAGTGATGGAGTCAGGAATTGGGGGATGGGGTGGTGCAGATCTTCCTGCCATCAGGGGAGGTTTCTGAGGCTGGATCTGACCTGGTCCCAGATGCTTGTTGCAGGAGAAGAGGAGCTGAGTCCAGCACAGGATAGGAGCCACTGGCTGGGGCATCTCCAGCCATCCCCCACCACTGTGATTTGCTGCTCCAGGTGCCCAAAACTATATGCCCGCACTGCTGGGGAGGGGTGTGTGACCACTCTTGCAGCTTTCCTTTGCTTCCCTGTCAGAAAGTCATTTTTCTGTGGGGAAGCAAAGAAATTTCCAGGGGACATGAATTCTGTGTGCATGCAGTGGTGCAGAATTCCTCCATTAGTACTGTGTCTTATGCCCCTCAGAATGGTCTCTCTGTAACTCTTAATAGAAGGCAGAATCTGAATGACTCATCTCAACTCTATGGTTCCTCTAGGGTGCTCCTTGGAGCAATGTAAACTATAATTTGAGTCTATGGATACTAAGATAACTAGATTTATTGATTTTGAATTAAATATGTCTAACTATACTATCTTTTAAAGATGTATTTGTCTAGGTTAGTTTGGGAGTCTGTCTTTGTGTATGTGGCTGAAAAGATGTGATTAAGAGATTGAAAAAAATGAATGGAAGGATTATAGGAGAGAAAGCTACAGAAAAATAAGCAATTTACTGTGGAAGTTGTAACGTCTGTCTGAACATCTGTCACTTCTAGATTTTAATTGATAAGTGAAGGATTCTGAAACCTTTAATCAAAAACTCAATTATATTCAAATTAAATTAATGTAAAATGTTAAGTGATTAGCAGTGTAGTCTAATTTAATGCCCATTACTTCTATGTGCTTTTATGGTAGATTAAGGTGACCAGACATCCCAGTTTTATTATGGGAGTTTTAAGGTACTTACTGTTTCAGGATATTAAAATGTTAATTAAAATTTCTGCTTCCAAAGCATATTCTTCCATCCACCTCCTCCTTTGCATGCACTGAAACATGTAACTCAGAGAGAAAGATATCTTCTATCATTGTGAACTATCACAAGGTGTCATGGAAGCAAATATCACAGCCAGAGGAAAATGAACATGACAATATTACATTTTAAAGAGTTTTGTTGTATGGTGAACCAGACTGTACATATTCATTAATTTAGTGCAAATATAGTGTCACTCTTAACTACAGCCTTTCTAGGCTATATCCAGCTATCATACTATAATAGAATCCGTGTTAAGCCAATGAAAGTTTCCTACAAAATGTTTGTGGTAGGATATGACTACTTTACATTGACAGGCTGGTTAATATAATACCAGTGTCGACTACTAGGTATCTTACTACAAAATGGAGCTGAATGAAAAACTAGTTTTGGGAAATATTTTAAAATTATTTTCATTCTGAAGGGTTTGGAATGGACATAATTTTGGTTTTTACCACATTTTTCATAATTTTTAAAGAACATTATGGATAACACTATCATAATGGTCATTGTAACTTTTCGTTTTCCAAAAACAACTCTGATTAAGACCCTTTACATTTATTAAAATGTGTATGTTTGTCTCATGGCTGTGAAGTTTGTCTGAAAGCATCAATACAATGTAATGTATTGGCCACTATATTTCTGTAATACTGAAAGAGGAAAATTTTCATGTACAGGTTTTGCAATCAGTACGCTGCATAAAATAAGCAGGTAGTTAACATTAGTGCAAATGCTTGCAAAATGTTACTAACAGTGCATATAAAATCTACAGGTATAATGATCTACAGGTAACCTGAGCCCATGATGTCCTGCTATTTTAGACATAAACCCGTGTACTATAGATATGACTAGAAACTGAAATCCCTTCCCATGACCAATTTTGTGTGTTTCTGAAATAAAAATCATCCCAAATCATGACAAAAAGTCAAAACTGCAAATTTTTTCACAGGAAGGAATTTTCAGAAAAAATTCATTTGGGGAGAACTGAAACTGATTTTTTGAGCTTGCCAGCAGCCTGCAGAAAGTGAAATTAACAAGACCCTTACAGACAGACAGCTGAAGAACTGACATTTGGATTTCCCTGTGGAAAAATGAAATTTTTTCCACAGCAAATTTTGATTGTGTGAAAAGGGCATTTTCTGACAGAAAATTCCTGACCAGTTCTAGTGTACTGGCACATTTTCTTCCTAAACTTGAAGCATTTTCTCTTCTATAGTAAGTAAGAAAGGTTTTGATTTTACAGAATATATAAACTAAAACATACATAAATAGATTCACCAAAATAGGAAAATAGACTAACCCGATCCTAGATCCTAATACTGAATAATATACGAGCATGATTATGTAAATTGCTTGAAAATACAGTGGTCACATTTTAAAGGTTGTTTTTTTTTCTTTTCCATGTTGAAAGATTCTACCAGTATATGAAAGATTCTTTTTTTCTTAAAATGGGAAATACCGATAGACTCAAAAATCCTTCTCAGTCCAATAGACATTTTTCAATGGCATCCCGTGTATAAATATTTTTTTTATTTTATGTGTTTTACTGTTTTTTTAATGTATTTATCTTATTTGTGGAGCTGTAAGAAAATACTCAGTACAATACGAGAAATCAGTCCTGAGGAGATTATGGTCAGAAATGTCACTTTTCTCACAACTATCATTGCATCTTGCCTTTAGTAATGAACTTAAAAAACTTACATTACATTACTTACATTATAGGTTCCTGGATGCAAATGTTGTGGAGTGTTTTAGAAAAAACAGCATTTTTTAAATTTCTAAACAAGATCATTTACATTTAATAGGCAGAAGTCAGAGTTTAAACAAACAAATGATATTAATTATTTACCAACTGCAAAACTTAAGACTTGCAATAGCAAATCTGATTTCAAGAGCGGGTGCTTAGTGTACGCTGTGTTATTTTCCCAACAAAACCTCTAGTCACATTTTAGATCATGTTGAAAAATTACGTTTTCCTTCCAAAAGTCAGCATTAAACTTTTTGGTGTCTTTTGTTCTTACCCTTTCCTTTTTCTCGCAGAGAAACCTCGTATTACTTCTGAGCCACAGGATGCTGATGTTACCCCAGGGAATACTGTCTACTTTACTTGCAAAGCAGAAGGAAATCCTAAACCCAAGATAATTTGGATACGTAACAAGTAAATCTTAACCAATCATTACACATGTATACTAGTCTATTTTCAAATGCTAATTATTATTAACACCTGGGTTTGTGGACTAGCAATCTAGAATGAGTGTGTGTGTGTGTGTGTGTGTGTGTGTGTGTGTGTGTGTGTGTTTTCTAATCTAAATCACTCTGTATGAGACTGGTTATGAAAATTCTACACAATTCATTTTCAATGAAACTCATGGGGGGAAAAAGTTATTATTTAATACTTTCTTCACTGACCTCTATGCTGCCTTGGCCTATTTTTAAAAATGAGAGGGAACTCCAGGGTCCTTTAAAATGCCTCCTCCCTTGCATTTTCCATCAGAACTCCCCCATGCCTTAGGTGCAATGTGCACAGGTTCATTTTCCAGATGAGGTAGCTGAGGAACAGAAAGTTAAAATGATTTGCCAGAGGTGACATAGGATGCTTGTGAGAGAGCCATAAATAGAACTCTAATCTCTAAAGGTAGGTCTACACTGCAACTGGGAGTTGTGACTGCAGCACATATTCCAGTAGCCACAACAGCAGGGCTGGTGGCACAGGCTTGTCTTCAAGGCCTGGTCTACACTACCCCCCCACTTCGGACTAAGGTACGCAAATTCAGCTACGTTAATAACGTAGCTGAATTCGAAGTACCTTAGTCCGAACTTACCGCGGGTCCAGACGCGGCAGGAAGGCTCCCCTGTCGATGCCGCGTACTCCTCTCGCCGAGCTGGAGTACCAGCGTCGACGGCGAGCACTTCCGGGATCGATCCCAGAACATCGATTGCCTGCCGCCGGACCCTCCGGTAAGTGTAGACGTACCCCAAGTACGAGCCCACCCAGGACTTTACCTATGTATTCAGGTGGCTAGCCTGTGCGACTGCCTGTGTCATTGCCATACATTGCTATTTTTTGGCAAGCTAGCTCAGTCAAAGCTAGCTCAGGTATTCCCATGTGTGTTGTCCCAGTTGCAGTGTAGCCATAGCTTGAGGCACTTGATCCATGTGTTCTCCACTTAGGGTGACCAGATGCTAAGTGGAAAATATTGAGACCGCCGCAAGGGGGTGCCTTTTACACTCACCCGTTCAGGTCTTCCGCGGCAATTCGGCGGAGGATCCTTCAGTCGCTGACGGTCTGCGGCGGCATTTCGCCAGCAGGTAATAAACCTTGCCGCCAAAGAAAGCACCCGCCGCCGAAATGCCACTGAAGACCGTCAGCGACTGAAGGACTCGCCGCTGAATTGCCGCCGAAGACCCGGACGGGTGCGTGTAAAAAAAAAAAAAAAAAAAAAAAAACACCCGAAACAAAATATCAGGACAAATGGCGTACTTCGGTCAGGACGCAGGACAAACTCCTCAAAATCGGGACAGTTCCGATTTTATCGGGACGTCTGGTCACCCTATATCCACTAGACCAGGGGTGGCCAACATGAGCCTGAGAAGGAGCCAGAATTTACCAATGTACATTGCCAAAGAGCCACAGTAACATGTCATCAGCTTGCCCCCCGCCCACTCCCAGTGCCTCCCGCCCACCAGCAGCCCCGCCGATCAGCGCCTTCCACAACCCTCCCCACACCTCCCTATCAGCTGTTTTGTGCCGTGCAGGAGGCCCTGGGGGGGGGAGAAAGGGGAGAAACGAGGGCACGGCAGGCTCAGGGGAGGGGGTGGGAAGGGGTGGAGTGGGGTTAGGGCCTGTGGCAGAGCCAGGGGTTGAGCAGTGAGCACCCTCCGGCACACGGAAAAGTTGACACCTGTAGCTCTAGTCCCGGAGTCGGTGCCTATACAAGGAGCCACATATTAACCTCTGAAGAGCCACATGTGGCTCCGGAGCCACAGGTTGGCCACCCCTGCCCTAAACCATAATGCCTCATGGAAATTGCTTCACATATCTGTACTTAGTGAAGCCAACTGCAAAATCAGACTAATCATGCTTACTTACCCAGAGTGCTCTGAGACCTACAGATGAAAAAAGCACTATGTAATATGAAAACATTGAGACACATTTTTAAGATGGTCTAACTGAAGCACAGAATGATTAAGTGACTTGTCTAGGAGGTATTATTGCTGAGTCTGATGGGCATTGGCTAAGAATGTGAGTCCTTTTCTTCAATTAATTTGGAGAGCTAGTTGAAAAATTGAATTTTCATTCTGTGGGAAATTCTGAGATTTCAAAATTTGGTTTCACTGCAAATTGCAACAAAAAGGGAAAATGGTATTTTGCAAAATAAAATATTCCAAAATATTTCATTTAATTGTTATCAAAACATTTCTATTTTATCATTTTGACCTTTATGTTTAAAACTTATTTTTAATGTTGTCTTAAAAAGTATATTATAATATAAAAGTCAAAATGATAAAATAGAAAGAAAAGATTTTATCCTTATTGAAATGAAATGTTTCAATAATTTCCTGACAAAGATTTTGACTGAAGTGATATATTCCTGTGAAATGTTTCAGTTTACTTGAATCAACATTTTTCAGACAGAAAACTGTTCTGTCAGAAAATGTTCAACCAGATTGGTTAATTTTCTATGATTTTTAGCATGCCATGACAGGCTGTCCCTACTGGTGGTACCACATTCTGGATAGGTACCTGGCTCATGCCTCACCCCATCTCTCGTGTCCCCTACTGGTGGTTGCTTCAGTGCAGTGGGGGTCTCTCTTCTGGTAGACAATGACTAGACCCTTTGGCAAGCTCACCAGTGGAGCCAACCCCCTTCCGGGGAGGCATAGGTAACAGAGTCTAACCAAATATATAGACGTCTGTAACCCTTCTGTCAGGTGGAATTGGTAGCAACAAGGGCTGGCTTCAATGTTTTGGGGTCCCTCTTAACAATATAAAACAATAGCCCCACCCACTAATGTGGGAAAACTTAACACCATGCCAAGGCGCCTCTCAGAGGCAATACTTCCCCACTCACAAGCACTGAGTCTGTGTATAACAAAAGAACTTTTATTCAAAGGGAAAAGGAACCAAGCATTAGTTTGGGAAAACACCGCAGCCGCATTCAAAAGCAAACCTGACCCCACAGTGCATCGTACCGTGTCCTTTGCTTCAGTTTCTCACCTACTGGAGGGAAAGTCCAATGAACAAATGCCCCTTTAAAACATCACTCCCCTCTCCCTCTGCTGCAACTCACTCACAGTTGGTGGTCCTCTGCTAGTGAAGAGTTCAGTGGTGTGTTCATGGGGTTCACCTCCCGCCCCTGGGGGGACGTCGAGCAATGCCTCAGCTGCTGCCTCTGCAACTGGCTCACAGCTGCTGCTGTTTCTCTGCCACCACTGGCCACTGCTTCTCTGCTGCCGCTGCTTGCTGCTCCGCAACATCATGTTCTGAGGTTCTGTCACTGAACCCATCTCTCAGTGATTTCAGCAGGTAGGAGGGAACCTCAGAGCCAGTGCAGTCTCTGTGTTGTCTTTCACTGTCCCCACACAGTGTCTACTGCTTAGCCCCTAGACCTGCTCACCAGTGATGTCAGCTCTAGGAATCACCCGCCAGAAACAATGACTTTCAGTTGAGTCCAATCAGCTCTGCCATTGAATGATGGAGAAGAGCAGGTCCAACGGCATCTAGGACTCTTTGGGCAGATTCCTGTCCCCACCCACTCTCCTCTTCACTGGGCTTTGACATCCTTAATCCCTGCTTAGCAGGTGAGATTCAGTTTAGGGTGACCCCCTCAATCTGGACATGCTAAGCACAGTTCTGCTGCCCTTTACTCATACAGTGAGGATAACAACATTTTCATTACCTGTGCATTCAAATACAAAGGTGACTTGTAACCCAAAACCAGCGAAAATTTTGGCAAAGCAGTTCCATCTGTTGTGCACCTAGGCAGAGTAGGCGTGTCTGTGCAAACATGGTCTGCTCTGGGCAGTCTTTTCCTCTGGCTCATCACTAGATGTCAGGGAGAGCTCATTCAGACCCTGCTTACAAGTCCGACATCCCCTACATAAGAGTCTCAGCCCACGTGCAGGCTACTGTGGGGCGCATGCCCTATCCTCAGTGCTTGCAATGTTTCTATCCTCCTTTTCTCCAAGAGAAAAGGGTTTTTTCCCCCTTTGCAAGAGGAGTGTTGGTAGTGGAGCCCAGGCCCTCCCTCTCCACTGGGTTTCAGCCCAGGGCCCAATGAGAGGCAGCAATATCAAATACCAAGCAGTGCTTCCGGGCTGCCTCCCTCAGCTGCTTCCTACCACTTCCCTTTCCAGTCCAGGGTGTGGTCAAAAGCCTTGCAAATGATCCACCAGAAGATGGAATGAAGAGTTGCCTAGTCCTAGGAAAAGGCTGGTCCCACCCGGGGGCAGCTGCCACTTGCAGTCTTCTCTCCTGCAGCCAGCAGTAATGCTGTACCCTTGCTCAGGAGCTCCCAAGATAGGTGTCTCCTTGTCTGCTGTCTGGCTCTCTTTTAAACTCCTCCTCCAGCTGGAGCAGGCTCTGCAGGTGCAGCAGGGTGGAGCTACCTGGCCCATAACTGCTCCTTAACCCCTTCTGTCCCAGTGTGGAGTTTACATACTCCATCACACATCTTTCCCCTGTTTGTAATGAAGGTAGTCTGTGCTGTGCATTCTATCTCATGATTTTGTATTCTTTGCCAAGTGCACACTGAGGTTTCTTTTTAGAAAAGCATTTGAGTACATGCTTAGTCCATCCCTGTTCAGGAAATCACTGAAGTATGTGCTTAACTTTGAACACGTACTTAAATCCAGTAGAACAACATGTTCAAAATTAAGAACACGCTTATGTACTGTCCTCAGTACTTTTCTGAATTCAGGCTTGAATGAAGCTAGACTCTTATTAGATTGGTTAATTCCTTTCATACCTTTAATTTAATAATCTGGTGGTGCATGCATCCCAGTTATTAAAAAAATCAATAAGTGTATGTGTATACCTACACAAGAGGAAAAAACATAAATCAAGAAACTAAAGCAAAACCTATTTCATTTGCAAAACAAAGGTTTCTAAGTAACAACCATATGGCTGCCTGTCACAACATTTACAAAACTAAGAGCTAAAAAAGGAAAAGGATGAATAGTTAATAACATCACTGCCCATATAATAAACAAATGTCATTCCTATCGAGTATAAAGACATGCATATTACTTCACAGCAGCCTTAATCTGACTCAAAGTTAATATGGTTCTTTCACCAATATCTCAAAATATACACATGCCTCAAAACCCTTCCGAAAAAGTGAGTTTCTGCTCCCTGATGTCCCTCTTCATAAATACAAGCCAAGTCAGTGAGTGATTTCTGGGGTGCAATGGACAAATACCTCACACCAAGAGGCATACCCTAGAGAAGACTCACAGTCCCCGTCTACTTTCCCTTTCCTCTCACCGGACAGAGGACAAAGAGCTGCTAACTCAGAAGGGAGCACAGAGCCAGTCAGCAGCAAGAACTGGCAGGGGCAGGGGGAGGGTCAGCAGTTGATTCCCTGGCTTAAGGTCCCCAGCATACCCTCATCTTTCTTGGAAAGAAGGGTTTGTTCTTCAGCGGGCTGTACCATCTTCTTAAAGGAATGGGGGTGGGGGCTGTCACAAGTATTTCCAGACATGACTGCCTCCCACTTCTCACTCCCCTCACCCCCCAACCCATGTCTACTATTACTGGAAGCAGCGTGTTTCTCACTTTAATACCAAAACTGTTCCCAGTTCCTGGGCACGGGGCAAGAAGGGGGAGATATCTGTAGCACTTCTGCCTCTCCCTTCTCGTAGCAACCTCCCCACTTTTTCCCAACTACCTCTCTTCTTTGGGTAGCTTATTCAACCCTTAAGATGCACCAGGTCCTTGTGTGTGTTGTGTGGGACACAGGTGTTTCATTCCCCTTCCCTGCTTTTAGGGTGGTTTTAAAGAAATTGAACCAGTCTGGGGCTGGGCTGCTACTTGATATCATAAAGACAAGGGGGGAGATTCAGCTGAAGGTCCCTATATATTTAAAAAAATAATTTCTTTCAAAAAGATTGAAATTGACCATTTATTCACCCTAGCCCTCACGGTTATGAAAAGTGGTACTCAATAAAGAAATTGAATGTGATCACACTTCAAACCACACATCTGTCATTATTCTTAAGAATCAGTAATTATATAAGTAATGTACCCAGAACTTCTGCTGTTAGTTGATAAATAGATTAACTGACATTTCCCCCATTTAAAAAGCCCCTCCAAATAAAAGTATTTAGATACTGAAAACAAGGTAACAAAAATAATCAATTTTTAAAATAATCCAAGATGGTTGTGATGAAATATGCATTTCTTTATATTTGAGAAAATAATGTATTTTTTTATAATATAAGACATGTAAGATTTATTATGTCCTTTTGTCCTTAAAATTCCTTGCCTCTGAATGCTTATTATTCCATATTCAAAGTGCTTGTTTTTTGTCAAAAATGTTATAGTCAAAGTTTTTGTCAAAGATGTTATACTATTGTCACTTAGTATACTTAATTGTAGTTTGAAACTCAGATTATTTAAAAAAAATCTTCTTCAATTAATTCAGCTATAACTGAAGCTTTGTGGGGGAAAAATACATACCCCCAACCACGGTACAAACTGTTCCAGAAGAGTCACTCTGTGTGTTTACGCTGCTTGTATCATAGTCACACCATGTTGCCCAGCAGGGAAGTTGCTTCGGAAGAAGCTACTGGCTACGTGTCTTGAATGTCCTTTTGCAAATCTACAGTAGCCAACATAGATGGATAATTGTTTACAAACACTGCAGAACCTTGTTAAAACCAAACTATTCCAGTCTGCCTAAGCAAACTAAAATTTTTGCAAGTTATTTTCATAAGAAACTGTCACACTGCATCAGTCAGAAAAAAGGAACAAAGAAATTTTGCCCTGAGCAAACAATACTGATGCCCCAAATGAGTAAGCAAATGCTCCTCTGGTGTGTAATCTCAAATCCAGCATGGTAACAGCAAAATTAAAAGAACAATTGCCAATTAAAAACAAAACACATGTGCTAGAATGTGGTGTTTAATGGCAGCCTTGAGTAAGAGGTAGTGTATAAGTGTTTCACAAGTTCATCCCAAAGTACCTTGTCCCTCTTGCATTAGGATAAAATAATTGACTGCAGTGTTGTAAAGGGTGTTGTTCACTTATCTTCATGTGTTTAGCCAGCTCCACTGGGGAATGGAAAGGCAGAGTCAAAATCCACTCCTTTCTCCTCCCCACTTGTTCACAGAGGGGAGTAGTGGCTATACAATACCTGTGCTCTCCACAGGACCCAGACCCAAATCCAGGTAACCTTGATGCGACCATGTACAGAGGATGGAATCTTACTACTTTGTACTGTTAGAACCGGGGACAATTTATACCATTTTATTAAACAAAATCAGAATAAATAACAGAGGGCTCGTTCCTGCAAGGTACTGAGAGCCCTCCTCTCCCATTATCTTCACTGGGAGATGAGGGTGTGCAGCACCTCACACTATTAGACCCATAATTAGAAGCTGACTATTGCATCGAAACATGTGCATGGTCCCAGTATCATTAATTTATCCTCCATCCCAAGTATGAAATTCAAATTTCATAATATGCAGATGATCTATTAATGTATAGTAAATCCACTTGTTTGCCATCAGGATCTGGTCGTAATACTTTTCCCAAAAATATTCAGTGTCTTTTTCTTAATTTGTAAGATGATAGAAGTGTTCCAAAATATGCGGATTTGACAAAGATAACTTGTCAGAGTTCTCCTCTATTTTCAGCCACTCGTTGGATATGAAAGATGACAGGCGGTTGAATTTGCTTGAAGATGGGACCCTCATGATTCAGAATACCAGAGAATCTGACCAAGGCGTCTATCAATGTATGGCCCGGAATGTGGCAGGCGAAGTCAAGACACAGAGTGCTTTCCTCAGATACTCCAGTGTTCCAAGTAAATACTTTCTGCTTCTTTGCGTTATGTCTAGTTTGGAAACACATTTTTCATTTACTTGAATACACATATATCTCTTTTTAATTCTCAGATATATTCCTTAAAACATCCCCAAACCTCTACTTGAGGGTTAGTAAGTATTCACTTAAGTTTGTATAATTTTTCATTTTATTAATTTGAATTACAGTACTGCTCTGATCAAGATCAGGGCCCCATTTTGTTTTGCACTGCACAAACACATAAGAAGAGAATCCCTGCTGGAAGAGCTTAAAATTTAAGGGGACCAGAAGTGGGAGAAAGGAAGTGTTGTCATTCCTATTTTATGGATGAGGATCTGAGGCGGAGGGACATGATGTAATTTTCCCCAGGCCATCCGGAAGTCTGCAGCAGACTTGAGAATTAAACTTCAATCTTCGGAGTCTTAGACCAGTGCTTTACATGAAAGATCATCCTTACTCAAAGAGTAGCATAGCAGTTTAGTTTCAAAAGGTGGAAATTAAGCCCCTTTTCACCTTGTTTTTCTCTTTCTTTCCTAGCCAAGCCCAGTTTTATCATTCAACCCCAGAATACAGAGGTATTAGTTGGCACCAGCACCACTTTGGAATGCATGGCCACAGGCCACCCCCAACCTCACATCAGCTGGACGAGAGGAAATGGAGAGTTGCTGGATGAATCCAGGTACAACATCACTTCTTCTGGAGGACTTTTCATTCAGAACGTTACATTGCAGGACCACAATCAGTTTATCTGCCATGCTCATAACAACCAGGGCTCTATCCAAGCATCAGCAAATATTATTGTTCAAGGTAAGTAGAACATGAAGCTGCTGTTGAGATTTCCATGGCTCAAGCGTGAAACATAGCTTTCAGGTCATGTGTGTTAAGATGTGTGCTTTGAACTGTCTGATGAAAATGTGGACTCCTTGTTGTCTTGCAATCTGTTGTCTGGTCTATACTAATATGTCTGTTAGTCAAATTTTGCCTCAGATACACATGTACACAATACTTGTTGACTGAACAGTAGAGGTGTATACATATCTGAGGGCAGAACTGAGCCCTCAAGAGTCAATTTATTAGAACTATATATTAGTTATTTCAAGCATTCAACGTTTATTAGTAAAACACTGGGCCAAATTCATCCCTGGTAACTCCATTGACTCTAGTAGAGATACACAAGGGATGAATTTGGTTTGTTTATATGAGAATATTTTACACCAGCTGTATAAAATCAGGGAAGACCAACATTGACCAGCACAGCTACACCCAAAATAGTTGATGGTGTGCAAGACATCATTTGGCTACCCCTGCTACAGGGTGACATAACCATTTGAGTTAACTTTGATCAAACTTGATGGTCCATTTTAGGACCTTATAGTTAAATAAGCAGTTGGGTAAACTTATATGACCCATAGTGTCTAAAAATGAAAAAAATCCCCAAACCCTCTTTCTAGCCAGTAAGGAAAGTAATTTCTAGTTTTAGAGGAGTTTGGCTTGTTGTTTTACACCTAATGTGTTTTACACCCACCGGAGCTTGTTGAGTGTGTGAGGATTCATTCCTAGATATGAGTTGCAATAATTAATCAAATGTAATAGTATGTTTTTATGCCGTGCTTATCATCATAGACTCGTAGGACTGGAAGGGACCTCGAGAGGTCATCTAATTCAGTCCCCGGCACACAAAGCAGGACTAAGTATTATCTAGACCATTCCTGACAGGTGTTTGTCTAATCTGCTCTTAAAAAATCTCCAATGACCGAGATTCCACAACTTTCCTATGCAATTTATTCCAGTGCTTAACCACCCTGATAGTTAGGAAGTTTTTCCTAATGTCCAACCTAAACTGTCCTTGCTGTAATTAAAGCCTATTGCTTCTTGTCCTCAGAGATTAAAGAGAACAATTTTTCTCCCTCCTCCTTGTAACAACCTTTTATGTACTTGAAAACTGTTACTGCATATCTAATGCAAACTGATACACAGAGATACAGAAGATGGACTATGACAGAAAATGTCCACAGTCTGGAACACAGCTGGATATAGATTCTTCATTAATCATTTATCTTTTTTTCTCTTTAGAAATTATTTATGAAGAAATTATTTTTAAATATTTATTTTACTGTTTCGAATTGTTTGAGTATTTTTTCCAACCAGTTTAGCCTTTGGATTATTTACAAAATACCTTCTCTAAATATTTGTTGTTTGCAATTTGCTATTTATGCTATATGATTGGTCACTTAAATTGTGTTGTGGGTGGGAGTTTTGAAGTGCTCACTATTGGCCTAATTCTGCTTCCATTGACATCAACAAGGGCCGAGTTAGGTCAACACAGATGGTTTGAAAATCTTACCAGGTATAGTTTCTATTCCTGGCTGGCTGATCGAAGTATAACAATCAGTAGGCTGCCTGTCTAAATCAATGTGGCTATGATCTTCTCAGAATCAGTTGAGAAGCACTTTAAGGAGAGAAAGAGAGTGTACAGAATGAAAGCAAGCCCAGAAAATTTTAAGGCATTTAAAATCTTTCCTTGTCTTCATTGATCGTGTTCATGAAACCCCATGCAGGGCTGTTGCAAGGAAGTTTCGCGCCCTAGGCGAAACTTCCATCTTGCACCCACCCCCAGCCTTGCGGCAGCTCCCCGCCCCCCCTCCGCCCTGAGGCGCCTCCCCCGCGGCAGCTCCCCCCCCCAGGGAGCCGTGTGGCAGCTCCCCACCCCAGCTCACCTCTGCTCCGCCTCCTCCCCTGAGCACGCCGCCCCCGCTCTAATTCTCCTCCCCTCCCAGGCTTGCGGCGCCAAACTGCTAATTGGCGCTGCAAGCCTGGGAGGCGGGAGAAGTGAAGCGGCGACCGCGCGCTCGGGGAGGGGGCGTAGCAGAGATGAGCTGAGGTGGGGAGCTGCCGCGGGGGGGGTGCCTTAAGGAGGGGGGGAGCTGCCGCAGGGCTCCCCACCCCAGCTCACCTCTGCTACGCCCCCTCTCCGAGCATGCTGCCCCCGCCGGCAATGACAATAATTGCATGGAGTGGCCGCTGCACTGGGAGAGGGAGTCTGAGCCGCACATGTCAGCGCGCCGCCGGGCAGCCCAGCCCAGGAACGCTGTAAAAAAAAAAATTGGGGGCAAAGCTTTTTGGTGCCCCCAAATCTTGGCGCCCTAGGCAACCACCTAGTTTGCCTTAATGGTAGCACCGGCCCTGCCCCCATGGACTGCCATCGCTAGTTCACTTGAATACTGAGAGATCGAGAAAGAGAAGGTAGATTTACTGGCTGTCTAGCAATCTTTACACCTCTTTTTTTTCTGGTCACGCAATAATTACATATGCACATGAAGGTCATAAGCAGATCTTCATGTCTGACTCATTTAATTGCCTGAATGCCAGGGTTTTTGTCAGGGCACTCCCCTGACCCATACACAAAGCATATACTATTTCAAGTTCATTGGCTAAATCCACTAGTCTCCCTGTATATGTCCCTGTCATTTTCAAACTACTGGCCACTGTCATAGGCATGCTCAATTCTGACTACAAAGGGCAAAGTCTCCTATCTTCATCTCTCTAGTTCAGCGGTTCTCAAACTTCATTGCAACGCAACCCCTGTCTAACAGCAATAATTACTACACAACCCCAGGTGGGGAACCGAAGCCTGAGCCTGCCTAGGCCCCAGGTGGGGGCCAAAGTAGAAGCCCAAGGAAGGCCTGTAACCTGAGCCCCACTGCCCAGGGCTGAAGCTGATGCCTGAGCCCCACCACCCGGGGATGAAGCACTTCAGCTTCAGCCCTAGGACCCACCAAGTCTAATGCTAGCCCTGGTGACCCCATTAAAATAGAGTTGCAACCCACTTTGGGATCCCAACCCACACTTTGAGAACCGCTGCTCTAGTTTGATTGCTAGGCCCCATGCCAAGACTTTTTGGGGAATTATTGTACACTGTTAACTCTCTCCTCTCTATCCCATACTGTATATAATTCACTGTTACATATGTCTGCCATGTCATTTATCCATTATGCTCTCCATTTTTGAACTCCTAAATCATGGGCTTAAGCAGCCATCTGTGCCTTGGTGGTGATGGCCCATACATGACAGTATAACCATCTGGAAGTTGCCTTCCCAGATGGATCCAGAAGTTGCAAGTTCTGAGGTAATTATTTTCTCTGTTTACTGGTTGGCCAAAGTCCCTGTACAGAGCCAGATGAATAAGTACATTCTATCAAAACTTCCAATCCACATCACTGCCCATACACTGCACTTCAAACTATTTTATTCACTTTCCGCCATTGCCTTGTTAAAAAATTCACTTTACAGTCCCCGTAAATGATTTCTTACATGTCTAATTAAAGAGCTCTGCATTTCTCTTCTCCCTTCAGATCAGTTTAACCCTGTCCATCAGTTTAAAAATACTTAACAGAATCCACCCAGTAATGCTAACAATAAATAAACCAATCTGTTGCAAAGAGAAGATACCTGACCACCTTTGTTTCTAAACTTCATAGAAGCCTAGAAGTCATGGTGTCTCAAAGGCCACTACTATTTTCTAGAGCTGAATTGTACAGCTTTAGTAGCTTCAATAAGCCAAGTACATAACAAATATCCTTGAATATAGAAGAGTAGGAAAGGTGCCTTCTAATAAGTATGACAAGGCATACATCCACATGTATCTGAAAGGTCAGGTGATAGATCATGCCTTGTTATATGTGCTTTTCCTTGTCAACTTCTTGCAGAGTTTGTTTTTTTTTCATCGTGACCTTTTTATTCATTACTTTAATGCTATTGAAATAACAAGACTTGCTTCTAGAATGGTTTTACTTATGTTTGTAACTGTAACACATGCTAGATCATAAAGTAAATCAACTTCTGGAATTGACTTTAAAACTTAACCAGTGAGAGTGTGGCATGTAGAAGGCAAATAGGATTTGGCCTTTTATGGGCAGGACCTATTGGCATAGGTTTAGCACAGATTTATTTGGGGAGGAAAGGGAGGTTGGGTGACATTTGAGTGCTTACATAGAAAGGAATTGAGGAAAGTATTCCCTCTGTAGCATGTTGCCACTGCTGTGGGGATATTTCTTATGAGAGCAGTGTTGTAAGAAAATGCAAATTATTATTTCATAAATGAATAAAGAGTTCCTTTGTGAGGCTACCACAATAAACTTTCAAGCTTTCAGTTGGTTTGCAGCTCCCTTTCAAAGACAGAACAAAAGCAACAGTAAATATTTGAGCAAAGAAAAGTGTTCAATATCAAAGCATCAAAATAAATGGAAAGTCTTAAAAAAATCAATTCTGATCATTCAGCCCTTGCCTTCCTGTTTGAAGTTTTTGAATATCGCAAAGGCAAAAATGCATACATTTAAAGGAGAAAAATAAAAAATGACAGCAAAATCATCTTTATACTTTCTCCAGTATCTTCTTCATATGATAGCAGGAAGGTTTTCATTATTATATTCAAAAATACCCAGTTTGTGCTTTGAATTTGTGTTGGTATAATCTGAATGGTTATAATTATTTTTATTACTCTCATTTTTTCTTCTTCTTCACAAATTATCATAATTGTGTTATACAGTATATGGACTAGCGGTTTATCACAGATGTCCAGTAGGATTTAATCTTTGATTCCTCCCTGTTTGGGTTCTCTGCTACCATTATTATTATTATTATGATGATGATGAATATCTCAGGGTTATTTTACTTCTAATTTTTTCTTGACAATAAATAGTTATTTCCCACAGATGTCACATCTTATCGATCCTTATTTGTCCTTCCTAAATAACCTGTATATGCATTTTGCACTACTTTGTTTGGATGTATACTATTTATAATGCATAACCTATAATAATACCAGCAACAGAGTGCAGTTTTTCATCTATAGAGACCATATGATTGAAATTGCCATCTGCTTGTCCTTCAAGATTCTTTACTGCTTTCTTGTTACTTTTATGTATCAGTGTGTAGCGCTTTAATTTCTCTTTAGCTGGATCATTAATCAACCAACTGGTATGCAAAAGGATGCTTCTTTTATTTCACAGTGGAAACAGATTGCATGTTTTGTTTTATACGTTATGCTTATATGTCATTTTAGCAGATGCTCCATCTTTTTGTTCCGATTACTATAGTATCCATATATATTGTGGCAGCAATTAGAGTGAATAACATAAAATCTGCTCTATAGATTGGCTGAGGCAAGCGATAAATAAAAATGGAAAATATGTTTCCCATTCAAAAGTTGAAATCAGTATGTAAGGCAGGTGCTTAGTTTATAAGACTTACAATAATTAACACTGTAAATCAAAACTCATTCCCAGTAAGCATCTTTGTGTGGCCAGAAAGGTTTTGCCTTGATTGATTTTAGTAAGATGACAAAACTCAGTTTATGTGATAAATATAAACATAACAATAAGTAACAACTTTGATACTAAGATTCCTCAATGGAAATAAAGTGTTTTAAGTAACTTCATGAATTTTTTAGCATTGGTGATCTGCTTGTGGGCTTTCTATAACAATAAATGAGAGCGTGAAAGAGTCAAACTTATTACAACATCAAAAGGTCTACCTTAGAACTCCCAGTTTTACCCGATTATAAATGTAGTGGCCCAAGAACATAAGTTAATCAGTGACAAAAGAGATGAGATGTGGAAATGCCAAATCATTTGGATTTTAATCTTCTGTTTTCCTGGTTGTAGTTAGTACTGGGTTTTGCTCAAGTTTAAGCCAACTCTTTTGGCTGTTTTAATTAATTCCCTACAACATGGCTTTCTGCCATAGCATCTTCTGAAAAATCTACATGGGATTGTTGTTTGGGACTTTAGACAAAAGTCTCATTACACTTGATGGTACTTAGCCATTCTTGAATCTCACTTGAACATAATTAGTATATTTTGTTTGTGATGCAGTAATTAATGATAATTCCTTTTTCAAGCCAGCTCATCTGGAGGAAGAATTCTGATTAGACAGTGAATATTCTCGAAGGAGTTATGCCCTCCTAGGCAATCTAAAATTCTGTGCAGGATGTGTATCTTTCTGTTCATAGACATATGGAATCAGTGACTTTTAAAAATTTAAACATTTTCACACCATGCTGCCACTATGGAATTACAAGTTCTAACTTTGGGCGTTTGTAGTTACTACAGGTTCCTGAGACAATGAATTCTGAGTTTTAAATGGTGCCTAATGCATATTCACAGGGAAAAAATGAAGGTGAAGATCTGGTTGAGCTGACATATCAGTAACTTAATGGTATAACATATTACAAGCATGTTTTAATTATCCCCAAACCAAACATTACATACCCAGGAAATTCAGAGTTAAGATTAAATTTTAAAGGAACCCAAAGCAGTTAATGTATTGAAATGCACACTTAAAGCACTCAAACTACCTTAATTGTGCCTTTAGCAAGAACCATAAATGGAGGGAGCAGGGAGTTAAAACTTATCTTTTAAAATTCAGTTTCATCTTGTCTGACACTGCATTCACTAAAGTGCTTTAATCATAATCTTTTGCTCAATATATGGTGTCACTACAGGGTAGAGATAAGGTGGTTTGAATGACTAGCTCTGCATGCTATAACCGATCATGCGGTGTTTGGTGTTTTATATATATACAGATAGTGAGAGAGAGAGAGAATACTATATCTTGACTTTGTTTTTGTGTTTCCTCTTCGGCATATATATTATTGGTAGTAGTTTTTATATATATACATGTATGTTGATGAGGAAACACAAATATATATATATATAAAATGGAACACAAAAACGAAGTCAAGATGAAGTGTACATTTTGGGGCAAAGTGATTTGGGGGAAAACAGATTTTTTTTTTTAAAGGATATTTTTATTCACATAGTTCACAATCATGAGATGTTCATATTTACTGGAAATAATTATCGGTAGTAGTAATTTTTATTTTAAAAATCTATAAAATAGAAGATAAAAGAAGCATGCAATAATATCAGTTGAGCTACCTTGAGTTGCAGTGTTTTGAACTGCAGTTTAACTTCAGTTGCTTGAAATTTCTGAAAGTCATCTTCCTGAATTTAAATTAGGAATCAAGGCACTCAGAGAAATGGGGAACTGGGAAAAGGGGAAGAAATATGGCATTCATATTCATATCTTAAGGTGGTGCAGCACATGGTGAATTACTTACCTCCACAAAGTGAGATCTGCATTAACTGTATGTAGTTAAAAAGCAAGCAACAGCTTAAGGGGGTGTGAGACATATATACATGGAAAGGTTGGATGTTGATGTTAGGGACACCTAACTAGGAACTACCTTCTTTTCATCTTCTTTCTCCAACGGATTATTTTAAATTAACTCTAGCCTTTTGTCTGCTATAGAGATGGCAAAAAATGCTTTCGGTTTTACAGAACTAAAATTAGTGGTGGTCCCATTTCATCCAAACTGTCCAAGTTTGGGGAAGGGGATTTGAATATTATTTTAGTCCATCTTTACTGTTGTATCCTCATTTACTTTCTCATCTAGAGCAGGAATAATGTTATGAAAGGCACATTATATCACACCCACTGGTTGAGGAGGGAAAACAGCAGCAAAATCCTGTGGCTACTAGAACCGAGCAGGAGCTGGAGTAGCAGGGAGAAGTAATTTGCCCCTTCCCACATCCATCCTTCCATTGCTGCTGCCTCTACGCACCTCTACCTAATCTGAGGTAACTCCTCAGCTGTCCTTTCCTCTCCCCACGATAAGGTATGTTGTTGGGGAACCAGTGTTTCCACAGCCACTCAAAGCAGCGTTGCCCTGTAGTTCAGCACACTGTGAAAGAGGAGTTGGGAAGCACTTTTACCTGCAATCAGCTATAAAGCCCACCCCACAGCAGCAACAGTAGCCTCCATCCATGTACTTAGCATTTTGTATACGGAGGATGCAAGGGCAGCATTTGGACCGTAAGCAAAGAGTTTTTCTGTGATTAATGAGATGAAGTCTGGCTTTCACCTTTGGTGCTTCTCGGACAGAGGAAGAATTGTGGAAGTCTTCCATGTTATTCCTTACTGCTGCTGCTATCATACACAAGTTTTGATTTCAGAATGTTTCTTTTGTTGATTTTTGCATAAGAGGCTATGAGACATGAATTATGCTCTCTGAGAGATGGGGTTTTAGGAATGTGTTTTGCTGCTATCCACCGTAAATAGGAAGACTCTGATAGGAGCCAGAGCTGTGTACTGTTCGTCCTCAGAGTCCCAGCTGTACTTATTTCAATAAGGTTTGGTCTTAATGGACCTGTGACAGATCATCATTCTTGCAAGCCATGTTCTCCCAAGTTTTTAATTTTGTGTGGTGACTCTAGTGACATTGTAAAAAGTTCTTCTGAAGGTAATGGATTTATGCTTTTTATACATACCTATATTACCCAGTTATTTTAGCTGCTTTCAGTACTGCAAATGGTAACACAAAAAACACTTTGCTTCCTTGATAGTAAAGGAACGCACATGACATGATTTACACCTTCAGTGTGTAATTGTCAAGCAATTATTTTTTTCTGTTCAGCTCCTCCGCAGTTTACAGTAAGTCCCTACAATCAGGTGGCAATAGAAGGGCGCACGGTAGATTTCCAGTGTGAAGCAGATGGTAATCCTCTTCCTGTGATTGCCTGGACCAAATCAGGTATAACCAAATCTACATGAGATCATATTTTTTGTGCTGAATTTAATATGTAAAATAAATAAAAACAGTCTCCAGCCTTTTTTTTTTTTTTTTTTGGTTGTTATTGGAAAGAATTACTAAAAGTAGATCAAGAAAGTATTGCGTACAATTACTGAAATTGGGTTATTTAAAGCAATTTGTATTTATCTAATACTCTTACCTAATCTCTTATGTCATCACATGTGAGCAAAAAACCACATGCTCTGATCTGTCTATGATGCTGGTCTCCGTGCCCAATCATCCACTTTTCCCATATCCATCCCCATGCCTGGAATTCCCTTACAGACTTGATTTGCCAGGCAACCTTCCTCTTGTCATTCAAATTCCTCCTTACGATCAACTCCTACTACAGCACTCGCAAGAAGTAGGATGAAGACATTTCTGTTTTATAAGACGTTTATTGTATATGCAATACAATTTAAGAAACAAACCAATCTACAACCTATTCAATCATGCTATGCCCATGCCATTTCTAAGTTTGAGTTACCCCCGTAACTTAGTTTGCACAACCAGTCTTTCTGTTTTCCTTTCTAGCCTCAGTTGTTGGCCCTTAGACTCTTTGGAGCTGGGGCCTTATATAGTGTATAATTACAATAAGATGCCTACTGGTAGAACAGTTTTGCTTGCTGTAATATTAATGACAAAACATAATGTTACTGTTTAACAAAAATCTCACTTCACCTGGTTTATGTCGTTTTCTTTTAAATTAAGGATATTGGGTGGACTTCTGCCCTCAACTAAGCATGTGCATCTTCTGTTCAATTTTGCATGCTTAACTGAGGTTAGAATTTAGCACATTGTAATTTTGGAAATATCCATAGATTTAAAAGGTCACTTTGTAATATCTGCTTCTGAATAGTTATTTCCAAGCAAGCAATAGCAAATTAAGTTCATATCAGTATGTTTAATATTTTGGAACAATCTTCTTTTATGGAACCTATGGATATGTAATCAATTTGTAATTATGTGATAAATTGCAGTATTGGCCACAATCTGCCATTGTGCAAGGATTCAACATGTGAGGATTTGTCCTTATGTTACTAAATAGCAATGATATGTTATGGACTTTACTTAGTAATTTTACTAAAAATGAGGAAATAGCTCAAGGGGGTTGCTTGGCAATAGAGTTTCAAATTAGCAAACAACTCAATACCACTTGATCTTCAGTTTTTGAATTTTGTGGCAATCCAATTTACATGGTGGAAATAATACTGATATAGTCACCCTGGGATTACATGGACAAGAGTTTATTTATTTAGTAAATATTAAGGAATTTATCCTGTTACACAATAACCTTAGTGTCCAGCTAACCTCATTCCTTCCTACACAGCAATACTAGTGCAAATCTGGAAGCTAAAGAAAAAGAGCTCACTTTATAACCAGTTTCTGATAACTTTTTTCATAAGGCATATTCTGATTGCTTCCTTAAGTAGTCTGAATCCTTGCCAAATGTTCAGGTTTGTTGAGGTGGGGTGTGTCCTAGTGGACAGAGCAGTGGACTTGCATTCTCTTCCTGGCTGTGGTACTGCCCTGTTTGAATAACTTTGTGCAAGTCAGTTCACCTTTCTATGCTCAGTTTCCTCATCTGTAAAATCGTCATTATCATAATGCTTACCTCCGGTGTCTAAAGACATATGGAGTAAAAGCACTATATGGGAACTAATTATTATTATTATTATTATTATTATTTGAGTTCAACACCTATCAACTCTGGCTCTCCTTCAGATCACATAGTGATCTCTCTGTTGTCACACCCCTCAATAAAAAGCAACACTATTAGCAAGATGATGAATAGCTCATTATCTGTCCATGACATTGAAGCAAGCAACTCACATTGCTCAATAACCTATTGTTCCCCACTCAAGTACTGTCAGCAGATACTAAAATTAAACCATTTACATTTTCCAGAGGTGAAAAACTACTATATCAAGTCATTGGACTGTCTGGTCATTCAATTTCTCTTTTTGTGGACTGGATCTTTTTTCATAACAAGGTCTAAATAATGAATATTAGCCCTTCCGAATTTGGTATTATCAAACATTATCAAATGCTCTTCGAGTTCTATGCTAAGTTGCTGGCAATTTTAATGTTTTAAAAGTATGACTAAATTAACATCTTATTTAATAAGCAAAGAGAAAAAGACCACCAATGGTAGAATTTGAAAGGAAAGAGCAAAATGCTCACAATTAACCATGTCAAGAATTTTGAAGGGAATGCCTTTTAATATATATTGCCTCCCAAAATGTTAACTAAAATAATAATTTAAAAAAACCCTATGATAAGTATGTAAATAAGATGAGTGTAATTTACCATATGTATGTCTCCGTTGTTTGACACATTGCAGGAAGTCAGCTGCCTCCTGATGGACGCCACACAGTGCTCTCATCTGGAACATTGCGTATTATACATGTGGCCCAACATGATCAAAGCCAGTATGAATGCCAAGCTGTCAGTGCTTTGGGTGTAAGGAGAGTGACCGTCCAGCTGAATGTGCAACCCAAAGGTAATAAATGAGGCGTTTTGTTTTCTGCTGTTTTTAAGGTTATAAATGTGCCTATAAACTTATCGAATGGTCACACTTTTAATGATAAATATGTATTTAGAAACATCATTTTCACTTTTGGGGATAGTAGACAAAATCATGGTTTGTTTTCAGTACCAGAATCCTGTGCATAACTGGTTTGTTCGTTTCACATTTGTGCCACGTATTTTGCTGAGGAACAACTCCAGTAACACTCCACAGGCTATCAGGAGAGGATTCCAGCTCCCATGAAGCATTTCTGTGGTGGTGGGCAGAGAATTTGGCCCTATATAAATATAAATCCAAAACAAACAAAAAAATACCCCAGGGTATATTTATCCAGTTTCCGTATTATGGAATATGGTAATATTATCTATAAATATAGTTCTTGGATTTACAGCAAGCAGAGTGAATTTTCCTTGCCATTTAAAAGCGTTTAATCTATTAATGTAGTATCATCAATGTCAACATTGTTACTTGTGAGAACATAAGAGTGCCTCCCCGATGTGTTATTACTTCATATAAATATTTAAAGGGCAATAATAGAAGGAAATGATTGTTTCTATCAAACACCAGTTGCAAAACAGGAAGCAAGAGGTTGTTATTAAAGGTCAAATGTAATTTTAAAATTAAAATAAAATTGGTTAGGGCAATAGGGTAGTGAACCATTTTACTTAATGATGTACTCATCGCAAATGCAGTAGAGTCATCTAAATCAAAATTAGGCCCATTTATGGAAATTATGGCCTAAAATAGTGTTTTTCTTTTTTGATGCATCATCCTCAAATAACCTAACAGGTCCCTTTCAAACATACTTTCTATGATTCTGTAATTTGTGATAGTACCATTATAGGTATTTTTCTCCTACTAACTTAAGACATATTTGAACATATGAGTATCCGTGCCCTAAACTATAGAAACAGAAAAGTTAACAAAGGACCTTTATATGATCTTAGGGAGATGGGACTCATCTGAACCTAGTGAATGTTATAGCATGAATGTAAACGGAATAAGACCTTTCCAAAGTTTAGTAAGATTTTTCTATTGTTTTCTTATTACATGGGATAGTATGGCTTTGTTGTTCTCATTACAGTAACTAAACTCCGAGGGGCAGATCTTCAGTTGATGTAAATTGTCATAGTTCCAGTGAGGTCAATGATGCTATAACAGTTTATACCAGCTGAGGATCTGTTAGCCATGGCAAACATAATCAATCCAGGAAAGTGTAAGTCGATGACACTGTTGGGTATTAGAAGAGATGACAATATAAGGAATGTGTGTTTGTGTTTTCTGCAGCTCTGCCAGTATTTTCTCAACTTCCACAAGATACCAGCACAGAGGTTGGAAAGAATGTAGAGATTCCCTGCAGTGCACGTGGAGAACCTCAGCCCACAATCAGCTGGAGCAAGGTAGGTTTACTTGATTATATCTACGGGGCTCTCAGTCTTGTCCAGCTGATACAGAATCTTAAAAGTAATGGACCCAGTATTGTTCAGTTGCAGCTGTGGTTTTTACCAAAATATAGACACCTATTGTAATCCTCAAACAATCCTTTTAAAAATATTTGTTAATGTTTTTGAAAATGACAAAGAGCAAACTTCAGCAATTTAGTCTGTCGTTTAAAGGCCTGTATTGTATTTTTTAGTCTTTACATCAGAAAATTAGCAAGCCATTGTGTCTAAGGGCAGATTCTGTCCCTGATTATAGATTGAGAGCAACACAAGTGGATGACATAAATTGGTCCTAAGTATTGTTTCTTAAAAGCAACATCTTCTTTTTTAAAACAATTTAACAATCTAAAATTCATCCAAAATAGATCAGATTCATTAAACTATTACATTTTGGAAGGCTTTAAAAGAGTAAAATCTCTATACAAATCTACTGTACATAAAAGGTTTTTTAACCGTAGCCTATTTTCAGTAAAAGTACAATACAAGGATTGAAAGAGTGTGCTATGCCATACTTAAAGACTTGGGATTCTTCGGGACTGAAATGGCCTCCTTCATAAATTAGGTGGCCCCGGGGGCTGCTCTAATTCATTGCAGTTCTGCCTGGAGGTAATGCTATAACCTGGAGCTGTGCTAGAATCTCCAAAGTCATCGTCATCTTTCTTGTGTTAATCCCATCAAATGGAGTCCTCTCCCTCCAAAGTGCTATGTTCAATGCCATATCCTCTATCATACTACATGCTAACATGTCTTCCTTTATGACATCCCACCATGTCTCCTTGGGTTGGCTGTTGTAATTTTTGGATCTGGTTCTAAGGATAAAGCTATGAGTTGAAAATTCACTGAAAGTATCTTTATTTCCCAAAATCTGATTGGCTTTTTACCAAAGGAAATACATCCCATATGCTGTACTCAACATGACTATAAACCCCTACTGCAATAATGTTTCCCTCATACTATAAGCAATGGCCTTATTACAGTAGAGTGATAAGGGGGTCCCACTACATCATCCAGGTGTTCGTGGTCTTGGTTGCTCATTGTTCAACACCCACTTTTATATCCTATGCTTAGCTGTGAACTGCACTTATTTCTGTCAGCTACTGTCTGCTTCTCTCAGACTCTTCCTGTAGCAGAGGTCACAACCCTTCCTCTTGCAGTGGTTTCAGTGAGCTTAAACTAGTTTGTGGTTTTAACTAACACAAAAACCTTTTAAACCATCTTAATCTACCTAACAACAAAACTAATTATCTGCATAACAACGGTTACCTTATTATTTTTATAACAAGCGCCATCTTGCATTATTTGTATTCCTTCACTGGTCTGTATCTTTTTTCCTTCAAGCTTCATCTGTTAAACTCTCTTACCCATATAGTTGTCATAACTGCACTTTACATTACCAAACCATCAGAGCTCGCACTCCTACCCTAGAATCTCCAAAGTACTCTGTGCTATTGAGATCCTGCTCCCAGCCCAATCTGCCCCCTTCCTCTTGCAGCCCCACTCCTGGCATGCTCCCATGTTGGGGCTTAGTGTAGGGCACCCTACGTTTATCCTATATGGTACCTGTCCTGATGGAATTCTTGCTAGGGGTTTTTTACGTATACAAGACTTTAACTTTAAATTGCTACAGTATTGGAGACTCTATACATTTCCTTTTCCTTTCATTTGTGAAGAAAGCCTCCTGATTTAAATATAATCAATAACTGTTATGTTTACTGTATATATCTAACACTTTATCCTCTATAGAAAAAAAGTAATAGTAAAGAAATAAAACTAATTTTTATTTAAATCTGAACTGATTGTACCACTCCTGTCAACCTCAAAATAAGCAAAGAAGCCACTTTGTGAAACAAACATGTTAACACCCCAGTCTCATTGGTCCATTATCAAAGGCTAATAGCATCAATAAGATTTCCTGACTCTCTGAGAGAAAATACTTTGCCCAAATAGTCCTTTATACTCAGTCAGTCAGTTACACCAAGACTTCTCCTACCTCCACAGTATCCTCACATGTCACCTTTGCAAATTACCAGGTACAGATAAATCAGTAAGAGGGAGGACACTAGTACATTAATGGGAAAGAAAAACAAAACAGATCCCCACCCCCGACTTTGAAGCACTCTGATTTATATTCCTATGACTTGTCTGTGGTGGAATCTAAAACATTTTTTTTCAGTCCCCCACAAAAATTGTTCCATGTGTTTAGGGCCTTCATGAATCAGACTACCTCTAGTCAGTAGTTGATTTGAGATGTTTCATTATTAGTAGCTTTCCACCTTTTCTGAGAAGAAATTGAGAGACACCAATAACATGCACTTTGGGTGTTTTTGTTTGTAGACTGGTGTTCAGATTACTGAGAGTGGCAAATTCCATGTGAACTCGGATGGCACTCTTACAATCAGAGACTTAGGACAAGGAGACCAGGGGAGATATGAATGTGTTGCAAGGAACTCTTTTGGCCTGGCTACAACCAGTATGGTGCTGACTGTTACCAGTAAGTTTCCAAGTAGCTGTTCCTCTACTAATGTTTCAATTTCTGAAAATCTGCCTTGTGTCTTGAGTTCTGATAAGTGTAGAGTTTTTTTGACAGGCAAATTGTAAATATGCTTTTATTAAATATTTAATTGACAGCACTCTTCTCTTTCTCCAGTTAGTAGACATTATAATGTTAAATATCAAAGAAAATGAAATATATGTCAAGGAAAATTATCACCTCATAAACATTTACCTTTATCCTTGTCTTTTTTTGTTAAACCAAGAACAGTTTGTCCCCAAATAGCTTTGAGGTACTGGTTGCCATTTCAAAAGCAGGTCCTGTATAACGTTAGCAGATATCTTTTTTTAAAAGTGTTTATTAAAGCAATAATGCCTTTCAAGAAGTAGAATTATTCTGAGACCCAAAATTGAACTGAGGGAAAGTTAAGCTTGAGAATGTATTTCATTTGTTATTAAAAAAAAAAAGTTAAAAGAATATTATGGATTTAAAAAAAACCAAAATCCCTCAAAAGTAAGGAAAGAGGCAGATACATTATAATTAAATGAAAATTATATAACAAAGAATATTAGAGAAACAAAAGGTGGGTAAGGTGATATCTTTTATTGGACCAACTTCTGTTGATGAGAGAGACGAGCTTTCGAGCTTACACAGAAGTTGGTCCAACAAAAGATATTACCTCATCCTTCTTGTTTCTCTAATATCCTGGGACCAACATGACTACAACAACATTGCATATAACAAATTAAACTGTAATGACATTTGTATGCAACAAAAAGGTATTTCGGGAATTTGTAACACAATTATCATGTGGCAGTCCTATTCAGGGTCACTAGAAGGGGATTTACTAGGTGCATGATATGCCTTGGCTTACATCACATTTTTTCCTTTTAAGAAGAAAACTCTGCTGCATTCAAAAAAAATTGAGCTACTTGGTGCATGAAGAAATCATCAAGAAAAAATTTTGAGTGATTTTTTTTCTTTTTTTTTGCTCTTTCCCTGTGTGTACCCATTTGAAGGTCATTGTAATAAAACACGAAATTTAAGAATGTAAGATGGTACTTTCTGAACATGCTGCAGTAATTTTGCCATTTGTGCTGATCTCCCAATTAATTCTGTCCTACAGACTGTAATTTAACAATGCATTTCTAATAACTAAGGAATCCAAAGACAAATTGGAGGATGACGTTAATGGCTTTGCATGGCACAATTTTGTACTTCTACTTTCGGGGGGTTGCTCTTAGAGCCATTTAGGGTTGTTTGCTAAAAATGACTGTATTTTGGCATCTGTGTGCATGCTCTCAGCTCTAGAGTGCAGAAAACTATCTGGACAAAGTATTTTCTCTCAGAGTCAGGAATCCTTATTGGTTCTGTCAGTCTCTGAGAATGGACCAATGAGAATTGATGGTTTAACATGTTTGTTCCATAAGGGGCTCCCATGCTTATTTTGTATTTGACAAAGGAGTGGTACAATCAGTTAAAATTTAAATACAAACGGACCTTTATCTTTTATAAGCCCTCCTCCCAAAGTAATAGTAAAGTGTATAGATTCTATTATACAACTATAACAACTATCCATACATATTATCTTCTATTCATTCTTTGTTTGTAGTGACATCAATTGAGCATAATATATTGCATGTATTATCCCATATAAGATTGTCTGTGCTCTCTCATTTATATCCAAAGTAGCTTGTAGCTTTTTAAAAAATGCTGCTGTACGTTGTGTAGATTGGTCCACTGAGCAACCCGTAACTTCTCTCAGTAGATATTTTCTCCTGAGAAAGCACAACTTAATCTGAACTACCATTGTGACTAATTTACATGAGTTAATAACCTCATCAGATATCACTACCCTACTTTTTTCACAATGAACCTCTCATGTTGGAGAGCTCCACTATTTTCCTGGCTTTTACTAGGGAGCAAGGGCTAATTGGAAAATGGGTGAGATGATGGTAATGGACTCTCTTGCTTATTTTTCAGGGGTTTTGTAGTGTTCTAGAGATTGTCTGGGATGGAAAGGTTTTTACAAGTCCTGTTTATTTTACCTTATACCCTTCTGCCGACTCCCAGATGCTTCATTTTTATGACGCTAACTTCCTTTTTCAAATGTAACTTCGTAGTACTGATCCATGGTGAGGATCCCTCAATATTGCCCGTCTGCTTTACTCTGACAGAACAGTGAGAGCATATGAACATGTGGCTCTTGTTTGATTATGTGTGCTGAGCGCCTTGCCCCAAAAATGAATTATTCCTTAAAAAACAATGTTTATGGTTTCTTAACAATTGGGGTTTTGGGACCTCAGACTGGTTCCTTCTATGATGACAAAAATGTTGTTGAAAGCTCAGTGTACTTCGTCCTTGTGACCCTTTCTACTGAGATTCAATTTCTGTTATGATTTTTGGGTGGCTCCTTCTCCTCTAAGAGTTGAAGTGAGACTCATTTCACAAAAGTCACTAAGCAGCTGTATGTTGATAACATTCTGTCATTACTAACCGGATCTGAACCAGTGATCTGAAGGTATCCTGTATCTCTTCACCAATTCTGAACATGGCAGCTAGGATTATTGTATGGAAGATAATTGCCTATTCTTTGCAATGTCTAATATAAATGTCAGGATTTACAGCTTTTTTTGTTCTTGTAAGGCTTGTCACTTTAAAATGCCAAATGTTATTAAATGCTATTTATATCACATAAATTTGAACTTTAAAAATGAGACATTTCTCAAACTATGGATTTTTTTCTGCAGTATCGCAAGGTAGACAAGCTGGTGATAACTTTGTTGAATCATCCATTCTCAATGCCATCCAAAAAGTTGACAGTGCAATTAACTCCACAAGAAGAAATTTGTTTTCGCAGTAAGAATTTATTTTATCTTTGCTCACAGAAATTGTTCATGTTTTTATTCTGCTTAACTTGTGGGTGTTTTTAAATTACAAAAAAAAATACTAGAGAGACAAGGTTGGTGAGGTAATATCTTTTATTGGATCAACTTCTGTTGGTGAGAGAGACAAACTTTTGAGCTTACACAGAGCTTAAAAGCTTTTCTCTCTCACCAACAGAAGTAGGTCCAATAAAATATATTACCTCACCCACCTTATCTCTCTAATATCCTGGGACTAACACGGCTACAACAATACTGCATTCAAAAAAGTGTACTGTAATTAAGTTGTCAAAATATATTTTTGCTTGTAGCCAGGACATGGTTTCTTAGCCTGGTCTACACTACGAGTTTAGGTCAAATTTAGCAGCGTTAGATCGATTTAACCCTGCACCCGTCCACACGACAAAGCCATTTTTGTCGACTTAAAGGGCTCTTAAAATCGATTTCTGTACTCCTCTCCAATGAGGGGATTAGCACTGAAATCGACATCGCCAGGTCAAATTTGGGGTAGTGTGGACACAATTCAGTGGTATTGGCCTCTGGTAGCTATCCTAGAGAGCTCCATTGTGACCACTCTGGACAGCACTTTCAACTCAGATGCACTAGCCATGTAAACAGCAAAAGCCCCGGGAACATTTGAATTTCATTTCCTGTTTGGCCAGCGTGGTGAGCTCATCAGCACAGGTGACCATGCAGTCCCAGAATCGCAAAAGAGCTCCAGCATGGACCGAACGGGAGGTACTAGATCTGATCACTGTATGGGGAGACGAACCCGTGCTATCAGAACTCCATTCCAAAAGACGAAATGCCAAAATATTTGAAAAAATCTCCAAGGGCATGATGGACAGAGGCTACAACAGGGACCCGTAGCAGTGTCGCGTGAAAATTAAGGAGTGCAGGCAAGTGTACCAAAAAAACAAAGAGGCAAACGGCCGCTCCGGGTCAGAGCCCCAGACATGCCGCTTCTATGATGAGCTGCATGCAATTCTAGGGGGGGGCCTCTACCACTATCCCACCCCTGTCCATGGACACCTGCAAGGGGGGAGTCTCATGCAAAAGGGATGAGGATTTGGGGGACGAGGAAGATGAGGAGGTGGAGGAGGATGAGGATAGCGCACAGCACGCAAGTGGAGAAACCATTCTCCCCAACGGCCAGGAACTGTTTATCACCCTGGAGCCAATACCCTCCCAGCCCTCCCAAGGTGGGCTCACGGACCATGAAGCCAGAGAATGCACCTCTGGTGAGTGTACCTTTGTAAATATAATGCATGGTTTAAAAGCAAGCGTGTTTAATGATTAATTTGCCCTGAAGTCTTGGGATGCATTCGCGGCCAGTACAGCCCCTCCTTTTAAATGGCCAACCCAATGGGTGCTTAGTATGGGAAAGGAGAGCGCTGCTGTTTGAAACCATTCCCACATGTTATGAAGGTTGAAGAAGGCGAAAGACTGTGGCTTACCATGGCTGCCTGCAAGTCGAATTCTCTTGCCCGGCCTTGCATGTGTGATCTCTCACACCAAACTGGCAGGCCCTCAATATAAGAGGCAAAATGCGACCTTTTATCGAAAGCATATGTGCTATGTAATGTTAACAGCTTGGTTCACCATGAAAGAGTCTACCCATTGTCCTCTAAAATGTGTCTTTTTAAATACTACTCCCTTTTTTCCCTCCAACAGCTGCAAATGTTTCAACGCTCCCCCTATCATCTCCATCCCAGAGGCTAGCGCAGATAAGAAGGTGGTGTGACAGACCCAGACCAGTGGGGTACAGGAGTCTGGTAGAGGGCAAATATACTGGTCACTGGATGAGTAGTTTTCTGTTCCCTGAGTGACCAGAGCAGGAGAAGGACTGCCGGTTCCTGATGTACCAGAATTATTCTCACTTGAGTCAGACGAGGAAGAGGATGAAACTTCTGGTCCTGAACCATCAGTGTCACAGGACCCACATTTTCTCCCATCCTCCTCCTCTGAACCACATCTCATAACACAAGGTGAACTGAATGACCTTGTCAGGGATTTGGAACTACCCAAGAGTAAGGCAGAGCTGTTGGGCTCCAGACTACAGCAGTGGAATCTCCCGGCAGGTGATGTTAGGGTTTCCATGTTCCGTGACCGTCAAAAGGATCTTGTCCCATTCTTCTTCATGGAAGGTGATCTTGTAGCCTGCAACAACATCGATGGTGTGATGGCAGCCTTCAACATCGTTCACGATCCAGATGAGTGGAGACTGTTCATTGATTCATCGAAGACGAGTCTTAAAGTTGTTTTACTGCATAATGGCAATGTTTTGCCATCAATTCCAGTTGGTCATGCAGTCCATATGAAGGAAACCTATGACAACATGAAACAACTTTTGAGCTGCATAAACTATGACCAACATCAGTGGCAGCTTTGTGGCGATTTGAAGGTTGTTGCTCTCTTGCTTGGTCTGCAGACTGGATACCCAAAGTACTGCTGTTTTCTCTGCGAATGGGATAGTCGTGCAAGAGATTCCCACTACATCAAGAAAGATTGGCCACTCCGACAGTCATTGTAGCCTGGGAGGAAAAGTGTTCAGCATCCACCACTTGTTGAATCAAGGAAGATTTTGTTACCACCCTTACACATCAAGCTGGGTCTGATGAAGAACTTTGTCAAGGCCATTGACAAAACACAAGCAGCTTTCAAGTACCTCCGTGGAAAATTTCCAAGGTTAAGTGAAGCTAAGATAAAGGAAGGTGTCTTTGTTGGTCCTCAGATTCGTGAACTTCTTCGAGATGATGCATTTGACCATGCACTGTGTGGCAAGGAAAAGACAGCACGGAAAGCCTTCCAGTTAGTGGCAATCAATTTTCTCGGAAACAACAAGGCAGACAACTACAGGTTGTTGGTGGAAAACCTCCTCAAGGCATACAAAAGCCTTGGTTGCAACATGTCACTAAAGATACATTTTTTGCACTCTCATCTAGATTTTTTTCCACCGAACTGCGGAGCAGTGAGCCACAAGCACAGCGAGCGATTTCACCAGGACATTGCAACAATGGAGAAACGCTATCAATGCTTGCAGACTATTGGTGGACAGTGACAAGAGATGCTCCATTTAATGAATACAAGAGACAAGCCAAGAAGCGCCGAGTAGACACTGAATAGGACTAAACTATGTACAGAATAGTTTTTTGCCTTTTGTTTCATAATAAATTTTATTTATATAACCCTTTTGCTGATTTTTAAAGTGTTACATAAACAGGACAGGTGAAAATATTATCATCTAAAGCAACCATAAACACATGAAAAGACCTAGGTTTACAATTTATGATTAAAACTCTACTATCTACACAATATACATAGACATAAAATGTAAAAACTTAAATATCTTAGAAACAGTAGCCAATCAATTGTTTTAATTGTCATATTTGAATTCAGCACATCAAAATACATAATAAATAGCACATTTTTTCTCTGAAGCAGACGACTTCTCAAAAATTGTAGACAGTGTAATTGACACCGTTTTCTTTCCAAATGCATTTTTCCTTTAACAAAAGGGAAATCAGACAACTAGTCCAGAAAGGACGGTGAGGAGAAGGTAGAATGTTCTTTCCTTGAAAATACCGTAAATGTCTCTTTATGAGTTGGCTGTTGGAGAGTATGAGGGTCAGATGAGCAATAATATTTTCTGTGATATCCCACTGTAGAGTAGTGTTAACACTCCATGATTGCTTTGGCTTTGCTCTATAACATATACAAAACACCCATATAAAGGGAGAAAATTAAATATTTTAATGCATGTAGATTTCTACACACCATCCGTTTACGACTACTCTCTTGAAGCAGGCTAACTTCTTTGTGATTATTTTCAGATGTTACAGAGAAACTCTGGTCATATTTCTACACCGAAATTAGTTTTAATATATTGGTTTCAATAGGTCCTTTTCATTTCTGCAGGCGTCCCCGGACTCCAAATGATCTGTTGGCTCAATTCCACTATCCACGGGATCCTTTCACTATAGAGATTGCAAGAGCAGGAGAGATTTTTGAGCAAACACTTCAGCTGATACAGGAGCACGTTAAACAGGGTCTGCATGTTGATTTTGATGGAATAGGTGAGTATCAGTAAAAGCTAGTATCTTTTCACTTTGCAATGTATTGCTGTATCTCACGGGTGAAATTTGACCTGCAATAATATCTTATCTTTATATTTTTTTTCATCCAGAAGGCATTATACAAAGCATTATACATAGTGTAATGCACCCAGGGTTTATACTGCACCTAGGGTTGGAAAATAGCCATTCTATTCTAGTACCACTGCACGACTTAGGACAAGAAGTGAAAAACCATTTATCTAGTTGAAACTATTGGGTGATTTTGGATATAACAAATTACCAGAGCTGGAAATTGACTGTAACACTGGACTTAACACTTCAACATTTTTGAAAAGTGCTTTAGTTACCACAAGTAATCAGGACCTTTCTTTTACTCTTGTGGAAGATGCCCCCTCCACAGGCACAGTTCCCCTTATATCATGGGGCATTGGATCAGAAATGACTTAAAGGCAAAGGTGGCATTTATTGAGTTTCTTATCAATGCCCCATAATGCAATAGGGAATTGCAGTAACAGAAGAACCATCTTTCAGATGAGAAATTATAAGGATAAGGAAACATTCCTACCCAACTTCTGCATTAATGTACTTACAGTGGTTGAAGCAATTTTCTTTGTATTCTTTGTATTCACTTGTCTATATTTCTTTGCCTGCAATTACATTTTTTAATACTTTTTGATATTGTCATGCTGTTCTAGTGTGAATTGCTCTTTGTTTTTCTTCAGAATTCCATCTCTTTCTCTCTAATGGCAGTTGCATTCTACTGACTATATTATTAATTCACATTTCTTTATTTCATATTATCAAATCCATACTTGTCTTGTCAATGAAGGAGTGTGACCTTTAGGGTTATTATACATTATATGTATTTAAAAAAAAATACAAAATCTTCTATTATTTCATAGGGCTCTTCCATTTTAACATTTCAGTTGCTATTGCGATATCAAAAATCAGCAAGTGGTATAAATTATGACTACGGCTGCAAGTTTCTCACAGAGGTTGCAGAAGTCACAGATTCCGTGACTTTGCGTAACTTCCATGAAATTCCACAGCTGCAGCGGCCCGTGTGGCTGACACCAGGGCCACCCGAACAATTGGCACCCTGGAAGCAGCCAGCAGCAGGTCCAGCTCCTAGGCGGGACTAGGGGGCGCAGGAGGCTCCACGCACTGATCTCGCCCTCAGGCACCATCCCCCAGCTCCCATTGGCCATGGTTCCCAGCCAATGGGAGTGCAGAGCCAGTGCTCAGGGCGGGAGACCTGTGGTTCCCCCCTCCTCCAAGAGCCGGACCTGCTGGCCACTTCCAGGGCGCAGCGCAGTGCCAGGACTAGTAGGGACTAACTTGCCTTAGCCCCGCAGCACCACCGACTGGACTTTTAATGGCCCGGTTGGCAGTGCTGACCGGAGCCTCCAGGGTCCCTTTTCAACCAGGCGTTCCAATCGAAAACCAGACACCTGGCAAACCTCGTCCGGAGCAGTGGCCCCGGGGTGGCCACAGCAGCCACTACTCGGCAGCCCCAGGCAGCTGGTCCTGAGACCCCACAGAGCAGTAACCGGTGGGGCTGGACCTGAGGCCCCCCAGTGCAGCGGGGCCAGGGCAGCTAAGATTTACTCAGGGGTGCTTATAGTAAAAGCCATGACTTGTCATGACTTTTACTAAAAATACCCCTGACTATATCTTAGTCTTAATTATGACACAATAGCACAGAATATTACCAAAAATGTTGTATCCCTTCAGAAAGAGGAAGAGAATGAATCTTACAGACACCGGATTCTGTCTTCTAGCTTGTAAACTCAGATATGTCCAAATTGGTGGTGTCCAAAACCCACTCGCTGCTTGTTAAAAACTGACTATTATAATGTACCCAAAATTGTTCATGGAGATACTACTATGTTTTTATTGCTTGCATGCAGTACCAATAATAGAACTGTCTTTATTTTCTGCACAATCCGTACCTGAAGGAAAATCCTATGGTCAAAGAGCCCTTGCTGAGCCTAAATCCTAAGCATGAGCCTAAATCCTAAACATTTATAAGCCAGATTCTTCTTAGTACACTCTAGACATATTTGTCTACATTTTATTTTCAACATTTTATATGCATCTTGAAACCTGATGATATGCATAATGTTAATTTCTAAATACATAAATATTCACAGTAACATAAATCTCCAAGAGCTGGTTTCTGCTATAATGACCAGTATTTAGGAAGTTTGAGGTCAATATCCCCAGATTTTTGCCTATGCTGCCAAATTTCTTGTCCTCAGAAAGTTATAGAAAACAAGTTACTCTACTAGTCTCCCAGTGTTTGAAAGAGATACCAACCAGGAGCTATGTTAAAAATTTAGGGCTGAAATTTGAAGGTAACAACAGCTGTCGCCTAGAAGCATTACTTTAATTTAGAAGGGCAAATCCTTCACACCTCTTTTCAGCTTTAGATACAGTCTTAAATTATCTTCACTGAAAGGGATAAAACCCACACTTAGGAAAAAATGGAAATGAGATTTGCAGAGTAACCTAGAGGATGATCAATGGAGTCAAAGAGTAAGAATTCAGACTCTGTTAAAGTATACAGATTTTGTTTTGAATTTCATTTTACAAATGGCTCTTTGGAGTATAATGATGACAGATGCACTCACTTAAATATTTTTCCCCACACAAATCCCTCATGATTGAGCTTTGCTTAGTAACTAGGTGAGGGTCAGGGAAAGATGGACTTTACTCCACAAACCACAGCTCCTCCTTGGCTGCTGCTCTAATCCTTTGGCTGCAATATTTGTTGTGACCCTACTGTACCAGCTGGGCTTTAGAAGTTTTTGGCAACTGGAGCCACATATTTTCTGACCGTATGGTCACCCCCTTAGCCCATTGTGGTCTGTGTGGAGCTGGTTAGGAGCTCATGGCAGGACTAAGTATTATCTAGACCATTCCTGACAGGCGTCTGTCAAACCTGCTCTTAAAAATCCCCAGTGATGGAGATTCCGCAACCTCCCTAGGCAATTTATTCCAGTGCTTAACCACTCTGATAGGAAGTTTTTCCTAATGTCCAACCTAAACCTCCCTTGCTGCAATTTAAGCCCATTGCATCTTGTCCTATCCTCAGAGGTTAAAAAAAAAAAAAATTATCCCTCCTCCTTGTAACAACCTTTTATGTACTCGAAAACTGTTATCATGTCCCCTCTCAGTCTTCTCTTCTCCAGACTAAACAAACCCAATTTTTTCAGTCTTCCCTCATAGGTCATGTTTTTTAAACCTTTAATCATTTGTGTTGCTCTTCCCTGGACTTTCTCCAATTCGTCCACATCTTTTCTGAAATGTGGCACACAGAACTGGACATAATACTCCAGTTGAGGCCTAATCAGCGCGGAGTAGAGCAGAAGAATTACTTCTTGCGTCTTGCTTACAATACTCCTGCTAATGCATCCCAGAATGATGTTTGCTTTTTTTGCAACAGTGTTACACTATTGACTCATATTTAGCTTGTGATCCACTATGACCCCCAGATCCCTTTCCGCAGTACTCCTTCCTAGGCAGTCATTTCCCATTTTGTATGTGTGCAACTGGTTGTTCCTTCTTAAGTGGAGTACTGTGCATTTGTCCTTATTGAATTTCATGCTATTTACTTCAGACCATTTCTCCAGTTTGTCCAGATCATTTTGAATTTTAATCCTATCCTCCAAAGCACTTGCAATCCCTCCCAGCTTGGTATCATCCGCAAACTTTACAAGTGTACTCTCTATGCCAGGGGTCTCAAACACACGGCCCGCAGAGTTATTTCCTGCAGCTGACAAGCTCCCCTCCCCCACTGCCCTCCTCCCCCCCAGCACGCTGTGTCCCCGCTCCTCTGCCTACCTTCAGGCACAATTGTTTGGTGGTACTTAGTGCTTTCCGGGGGGAGGAGTGGGGAGCCGTGCACTGCGGGGAGGAGGCGGAGAAGAGGCAGGGCAGGGGCGGGGATTTGGGAAAGGTGTTGGAATAGGAGCAGGGAGGGGGCGGAGTTGGGGTGGGGACTTTGGGGAAGGGCTTGGAATGGGGGTGAGGGAAGGGATGGGAAGAGGCAGAGCAGGGGCGCGGGGCCTCATGGAAGGGGTGGAGTGGGGGCAGGGGCGGGTGGGGTGTCAGTGATGCGGCTCTTGGGCCAATGTACTAGCCTCATGTGGCCCTCGTGGTCATTTGAGTTTGAGATCCCTGCTCTATGCCATTATCTAAATCATTGATGAAGATATTGAACCAAACCGGACCCAGAACCAGTCCCTGCGGGACCCAACTTATTATGCCCTTCCAGCATGACTGTGAACCACTGATAACTACTCTCTGGGAACTATTTTCCAACCAGTTATACACCTACCGTATAGTAGCTCCATCTAGGTTGTATTTCCCTAGTTTGTCTTGCATGAGAAGGTCATGCGAGACAGTATCAAAAGCTTTTCTAAAGTCAAGATATACCACATCTACCACTTCCCCCCCCTCCACAAGGCTTGTTACCCTGTCAAAGAAAGCTATCAGGTTGGTTTGACAAGATTTGTTCTTGACAAATCCGTGCTGACTGTTACTTATCACCTCATTATCTTCTAGGTGTTTGCAAATTGATTTCTTAATTATTTGCTCCATTATCTTTCCGGGTACAGAAGTTAAGCTGACTGGTCTGTAATTCCCCAGGTTGTCCTTATTTCCCTTTTTATAGATGGGCACTATATTTGCCCTTTTCCAGTCTTCTGGAATGTCTCCTGTCTTCCATGACTTTCCAAAGATAATTGCTTATGGCTCAGATATCTGCTCAGTCAGCACCTTGAGTATTCTAGGATGCATTTCATTAGGTCCTGATAATTTGAAGACATCTAACTTGTTTAAGTAATTTTTGACTTGTTCTTTCCCTATTTTAGACTCTGATCCTACCTCATTTTCATTGGCATTCACTATGTTAGATGTCCAATCGCCATCAACCTTCTTGGTGAAAACCGAAACAAAGAAGTCATTAAGCACCTCTGCCATTTCCACATTCTCTG